AAAAAAAAAAAAAAAAAATATCTGCCCAATGCATTTAAACAAAAAATTCCTGGCAGATTAGTGTAAAAGTTCCAGTAAAATAATACATGTAGACATGTAGTGCAAATAATGTAGAATAAATAATTCTGTAATTGCTAGAAAACAATAACAGGCCTTGCAGTTATGTAATATGTGAGTAGTATGTATAGGGAGCAGAACTCTTTATGCTGTTACCTTACTGTAGGCTGAGGGGTGATCCCATTATACCCACCCTACTATAGGTTGAGGAGTGATACTATTATACCCACCCTACTATAGGTTGAGGGGTGATCCCATTATACCCACCCAACTAAAGGCTGAGGAGTGATCCCATTATACCCACCCTACTATAGGTTGAGGAGTGATACTATTATACCCACCCTACTGTAGGTTGAAGAGTGATAAGATTATACCCACCCTACTATAGGTTGAGGGGTGATCCCATTATACCCACCCTACTTATAAGGCTGAGGGGTGATCCCATTATACCCACCCTACTGTAGGCTGAGGGGTGATCCCATTACACCCACCCTACTGTAGGCTGAGGGGTGATCCCATTATACCCACCCTACTAAAGGCTGAGGGGTGATACGATTATACCCACCCTACTAAAGGCTGAGGGGTGATCCCATTATACCCACCCTACTAAGGGCTGAGGAGTAATCCCATTATACCCACCCTACTAAAGGCTGAGGGGTGATATGATTATACCCACCCTACTATAGGCTGAGGAGTGATAAGATTATACCCACCCTACTAAGGGCTGAGGAGTAATCCCATTATACCCACCCTTCTAAAGGCTGAGGGGTGATACGATTATACCCACCCTACTATAGGCTGAGGAGTGATAAGATTATACCCACCCTACTAAAGGCTGAGGGGTGATCCCATTATACCCACCCTACTGTAGGATGAGGGGTGATCCCATTATACCCACCCTACTGTAGGCTGAGGGGTGATCCCATTATACCCACCCTACTGTAGGCTGAAAGGTGATCGGATTATATCCACCCAAGCTGAAGGTTGATCTGATAATACCCACGTAGATATAGTACTTGATACATGTCAGTAGGAAAGAGCTCTCGACACAACTGGTTGCCACCGTCATTCTAGTGCCTGTGCAGCAAAAAACAGCTGTGTCCATGATATTTGGTCATAGATCTAGTTAGAGTAAAAATACCTCCAGATATATAACTGGTGAAATGTGAAAAAACTTGATGCTGATTTGTTTCATGTTTCTAATGAAAAGAAATAAGAAAAACACATGTTTAAAACATGGTGATATGCAATAATTTTTTTAATTTTTTTTTTGTGGGGGACAAATGATATATTTTCTGGAGTCTTTATCATGTGTGATGATCTACATGTACATGTACTGGATAAGTGTATACAATTTGCTGCTTATAGCTAGCTAAATATTAAGATATATTATTATTATTAACGGTGATAGCTTTTTGCTAAATGGACATCTTGAATAAATAAAACTAATAACATTGATGGATTGTTTGTTTTTCTATGTAAGTGATGGCATATGGCCATATACAATGAAAACTGGGTCTAATAGGAAGGAATTAACTGATTATGTCTCCCCTTCGAATAAAGGGAGACATTGTATTAGTACTGGTTCTTCTAATCGCGGGCCACAACTTTTAAACCGTTAAAGATATCTTGATGAAACTTAAAGTATACCTGCATCATCCACAGAAGGTGTGCAGTGCACTGGAATTAGGTCTCCTGCTTCACTGTATACAGAGTTATGGCCCTTTGTTTAATTTTAATACCGAAGTTTGTCCGGAGCATAACTTGCATGTTATTTCACCTACGTTGACCAAACTTATCATATTTATGTATATGGGAAGGTGGAATCTCTCGCACTAAAATCAGGTTTTATGCCCCACTTTATACATAGTTCAGGCCCTTTATTTATTAGCTCACCTGGTCCGAAGGACCAAGGGGAGCTATGTCATACTGTGGCGTCCGTCGTCTGTACTTTTGCTTTAAACTACTTCTTCTTAACCACTGATTGGAATTTAGCTAAATTTATCTGGAAGCATCCTTAGGTGGTGGGGATTCAAAATTATACAAATGGTGGGGCTGACCCCCCAGGGTGATGATGGGCAATCAAAAGCATTCGTGGGAGGCAGGGATTCAAAATTGTACAACTGGTGGGGCTAAGAGGCGGGGGCCAAAAAGGGTTATTTGGCTATATTGCTTTAAGCAGCTTCTTCTCCGGAACTAAGTGATGGATATCAACCATATTTGGCTGGAAGCATCACTGAGTCGGTGGTTATTAAAAATTGTACAAATGGTGGGGGGCTGAGGGGCGGGGCCAAAAGGGGACAATTTGGCTATATTGCTATAAACGACTTCTTCTGTAGAACTATGCCATGGATATTAATCATATTTGGTCGGAAGCATTCATGGAAGGCAGGGATTCAAAATTGTTCAAATGGTGGGGCTGAACCCCTGGGCTAAGGAGTGGAGTAAAAAAAAAAATATTACTTAGAAGTGGTTGAGATCCCCACTGTATAACCTTATATACAATTGCTGAGTATAAAGAGATGAATGCACATTTGCTTCCAGGATGGCCCTAGTGTCTGGCCCCACCCTTGGAGACTTAACCCCTGGGTCATAACTTTGAAACAGTTAAGATCGCACCCCAAAACTATATATACAATTGTTGGTCATAAAGAGACGAATGCAGTCATGATATTAGAATTGACCCCAGGGTCTGCCCCACCCTTGCAGACATAACCCCTGGGTCATAACTTTGAAATGGTTGAGATCCCCAACCCAAAACTATATATACAAATGCTGGGCAAAAAGAGAAATGCAGTCATGATATTGGAATTGATCCTGGGGTATGGCCACAACCCTAGGGACCTTGTTTCTGAGTCACAGCTTGGAATCAGTTGAGATCCCCACCCCATAACCATACATAAAATTGCTGGACATAAAAAATTAAATACAGATATGCTACAAGGATTGGCCTTGGGGTCTGGCATATTCCCTTGGATCTCATTTGGAGAATATTTTGCCATGATTACTTAGATATCCAGGTGAGCGATCTTGTATTATGGTGTATTTATGGTTATATGGACATGAAGAAAAGTTAAATTGACTTGGACAGATTGATACCACAGATCATGAACAACATGTAGATTGTGTGGCTTGTTCAAATCGAACCTAACTAGTCTGTGTATTATTATTAGTTAAAGTTTGGCCTATTTTCTGCACTGGACTCCCATTATCTGTCTGGATTTTATTTTTCCATGGCAAATTGTAGTACAAAACTTGTGATTTAATTGAGGATAAACTACAACACTAATTCCATATTGATGGTGCAAGAGAAAAACCTAACGGAACAGGAGGACACTGTCAGATAACTGGGACCTTTGAAATCTGAAATTCTGCATTCTCAATTACATAATTGTCCAGGGATCTTTGTTTTAAAGGATGATGCAATCAGATGTCTTTGTTTTTGTGTAATTTTGATAGAAGACGACATGTTTTGACCTGAATCTGGTACGTTGACCTGACGTGTTGTCCTCCAATTACCATATTGCATACAGGCAAAGTTAAAATCTATATAGGGAACATCATACAAAGTGATCAACCAATTTTCAGAACGGGCTATCATTGCCTGATAGGAATATTCCGCGTAAACTGATAGCTGGTTGAACTCTTGCACACATGAAGACACATTTGAACTCTTCTAATTCAAAGGTTGGAATAGTTCATTTTGAAATTTCATGGGTCAATGAGTTAAGTCTGACTAAGTTTTAAAACTAAGCGCTACATCAGAAAAATTGCAACCTGGAGACAAGATGTAGACTTGATGGAAAGTATGCGTCTACCGCTGACAAAATACTGGTTTTCACAGAGTTGGATAGAGCAGAAACATTGTCAATTAGATTGAAGAAATCAGTTTGAATGACCTTGACCTTTGACCGTATTAATGAGAGGTATAAAAACTAACCAACAACAGTTTATTCAAGTTTGGTGACGATATAGTTAATGTGGTAAAGGAATTCTATGGAGTAGCAACCGACTGTACATAGGAATCTACGTTGAATGAACTCTGGGACAGTATACGTCCCTGATGAACTTGACCTGTAACGGACCAGTAAAAACATGTTCGTGGTAAAGATGCTGCAGTTTAGAAATAGTGAAGTTATTTATTTGGTTTGTTTGTAGTTTACGTCTTAATAACAGCTATGGTCATTTAAGGTCGTGTCGAGTTTTGGTGATGGAGGAAAACCGGAGAACAACCACCGACCGGAGTCCAGTACCTGGCGACTGCCCCACGTAGGTCACGGTTGGTTGGTTGGTTGGGTATCGTGGTTTAACGTCCTATCAAATGTCAGTTGAGGACGTGCGTAGGCCAAGGACCGGCGACCCAGTCTTGGAAGGCTAACTATCACAGATGGTCCGACACCTTAACCACTGCGGCCCTTGTCAAGTTATTGAGCAGAAATAATGGTGAGATATCTACTTAATGACATTAACTTTATAAGACCCACGACAAATATGATGTGTAGCCTTTAGGATCCACTAGTGTTTCACCTTATTTTTCAGTTCAAAATGTTTATGATGGTGATTTTGCCAGTCTTTCTTTTTACACACCACGTGCATGCTATCGCAGAAACCATAATTCACGATAACAAGGTTAAGTTTGAAGCTCACTGACAGGACTCTATGATATTGACTACTGGATCACAGCGACCACCTATGTACAGGGACCGTTTAACACTCTCTGTGGTGCTGGAGGGAATAAAGATTTCGTGGTGCAAGTGGGTGGGCGGTAACCTTTTTTGAACCGGAAGGACGTGTTTTGCTTACTTGAATGTAAACAATTTCCACCTGACACAGTCCATAGTTCCACAACACCTTCCAAACGATTTAGCCATGTCTCGGACGCCGTCCCACGTGGAGGAATGCATCAAAGACTACAAGTACATCTTCCAATCGGAATTACTCAGGTAACTGTTAATACAACTGTCGGGCCGCTCTAAGTAGGCCTACTCAGAGACGTAATACGTCTCTGGCCTACTGTTGTCTAGCTGCGATAACGTATGTAGCTTCTGACGACGAGACACTATTTGTATGTACAGTATAAGTATTGCGTGAAGGCCGGGTGTTAGTATTAGTACCAACCAAAAACTACCAATGCCTACATTGATATTTGCAGTGCAGCTAGTCTGTAGTCACACAAATATTACATCTAGATTTTAGAAGTAGCTCAACCAGTCAGTCCTCATAAACCGAAGGGGTCACATCACCGGGGTGAACTATAACTGTGGCGTCCTATTTTATGAACTGCCGTCCCGCTCATTTTTAGCTCACCTGTCCTTTGGACCAGGTGTTATGCCGTAGCGTGGCGTCCGTCCGTCAACTTTTCTGAAAACGCTACTTGTCCTAAACGGCTCAGACTCTTGGGCAAAGAGAACTCAATTTTGTATAAACAGAGGGTGTGGCACCCCTGGTGACAGAGGGCCGGGGCCAAATAAGAGAACGTGTGGTTAATCTTTATAATCCTCCTTCTGTTTGATTGGAGGATCCATTGGCAAAGGGGACTCAATTTTGTATGAACGGAGAGTGTGGCCCTATCTGTGGGGCAGAAGGGGCGGCACCGAATGGGGGAACGTAGTAATTTCAAAATGTTTAAAACCCTTTTCCTTCAGTTTTATTTCAGTGATTTTAAACAAATGAAGGATGTGCCCCCTCCCTTTAGGACTGAGGAGCAGGGCCAAATAGGGGAATACATCTTCAAATATCCTTATCTTTCAGATGTGGAGGGATTTTTACCAAAGTTTGTGTAGAACTTCCTTGGGCAAAGGGAACTCAATTTTGTATATATGGAACTTGAACATAAATGTTGTTAAATTATCGTTCAACCTTAATAAAAGGGAATCAGGTAAAATGAGAGGACAGGCTGTTTTGGCGCTATTTTAAAATGTTAAACAAATACAAAGCAGGAATCTTAGCTGAGTTCTTCAGTAGCGTGTTCACAAAGGAGGCACCGGGGGAACTATCGGAATTAGAAAGAACATTGATAATACGTCCATTTGAGTGTACCGAGGAAACCGTTAAAAAGTTGTTAAATCACCAGGACCAGACAATAGGCACCTTAAAGTAATGAAAGAACTGTATGATTACATCTCTTAACCGTTGAGCATGATTTACAACAAAAGTGTAAATGATGGAAAATTATATATAGGCCTAAACTACCGCAATTTGTAAAAGGGTTTCAAATCAGATCCGGGTAATTATAGACCGGTCAGTCTTGCAAGCGTAGTTGGCAAAACAATCATGAAACTGGTGCAATCGTTGCTTATATTATAAAAAAACGATATATTCAGTGAAAAACAATACGGTTTTGTAAGTGGAAGGTCAACGGTATTACAACATATACAAGTTTTTGACGATTGGTTGGAGATCGTGAATACAGGTGGTGAAATCGATGTTATATACCTAGACTTCATGAAAGCGTTCGACAAAGTCCCTCACCGGCGCTGCTGATAAAGTTAGCGAGCTACGGGATAGGCGAACGAATAACAAAATGGATAAAACATTTTTTAAGAGAAAGAACACAAAAAGTCATTGTCAACGGTACATCATCAAAGGCGTATCCAGTTTTGGGCGGAATACCACAAGGCAGCGTCCTTGGACCGGTACTGTTTGTCATAAGATGTCAATGACTTACCCGAAACCACTTAATCATCAGTATTAGGGAAATGAAGACCGAGGAGGACCAAGCTATTCTACAAAATTATGTTGATACTCTTCAGAAATGATCCAGTATATATACAGTTCCACCCACACAGGGGTGAAAGAAGCTATTTCATGAGAGGACAAAGAAATAAGCGTATGAAATAAGAAAGTATATCGTCTGAAAATAAGACTTGGGACAGAAACCTAGACTTTTGCATGTCATATACATTGTTGGACTCATAGGGAGGTCTTTTATTTATTTAAATGAAAATATGCGGCGTGTGTTTGGAATCTACACAAAAATAGGAAATTGAGCTTCTAGAATCGGTACAAAGAAGAGCCACAAAATTACTGCCAGGATTAAAAGATTTATGATGTAGTTAACGCCTCAGAATACTAAAACTACTAACGTTAAAATACCGAAGGATGCGAGGAGACATTATTAATTTATTTAAGATTATTAACAACATATTTGATACCGACCAAACTCTCAGACAGCTTATACATTGTGCAGTAAGAGACATGTACCGGTATATAACTTGTATTAATAAAACAACATTTGAAATAAAAGAGATTTATAGTATCAAGTGTATCCCCTTTGTAATAGTTAAAATCTGATACAAATGGTATTATTTTATGCCTTGACACTTGTTTTATTTCAGGGGAAAAGTTGCTTTTATCACTGGGGGAGGAACAGGGATATGCTTCACTATTGCAGAAGTCTTTATGAGGTAAGTTAAAAGCGTATTGGTGTAAATGATCTACGTTCATATTGTCATATGTTGTCAAACACATGTTGACAAGTAAAGCAGGTGTAGTTGAATTTGTCAGCTGTTAAGACATTTCATGTCATCTCTGGGTTTTAAACTTTCAGACATCAGTGTGATACAGTTATATGTAGTCGCAGGATGGACAAATTGAAGGAATCTGCAGAGACGTTGTCCAAGGCCACAGGTCGGAGATGTGTCCCCGTACAGATGGATGTCAGGGAAGTATGTGTCACTTTCGAAGTTTATAATGTTGATTTTTTTTTCAAATTTTACGTAACTATTTTTTGTTACTATTCTGCCTTTATACATAGAGTACAATTGTGCTGGGTTTTCCCCCAGTTTCTCAAACAGTTTCTCTTTGTTTTAACTTTTAACAATTGTCACTTTTATGAATCTCATCTCCAAATTGTCAGTAAATCACCGTTACAGGTAATCCATTACTTAAAACACTAAGACAACATTTGATTGTTTTCAACAGTTTTCATAGTGTTTACTGTAGAAATCCTTCAATACGCCCATGCCTGGTGATAAGCCCACCCTTGTCAAATAAAGTTCAGTAGAAATGCTAATAAATGCTATTTCATTGGCATGCAATGAGCCCGCACCTTACTTTGGGCAGAGTTTATGTATTAGCCCCCTGAGCTTATTCCAGGATAAATACGGTATTATTTGTTTATAAAACTGAATGTGTATATATATATATTTCAGACTGAAAGAATATTGATGGTATATTAAAAGTGTATATATTAACATACTTTTGATAATTTGTTTGCAGCCGGAATCCATTATAAAAGCTGTGGAGATAGCACTCACAGAGTTCGGCAGAATAGACTACCTAATCAATGGTTTGTACAAATCTTATCCATGATTACTGAATCGGTTTTTTATGACTAAAACATGCTGAAGGTTTCGTGAAGTGTTCAATTTTTAGTGCTGTACTGTTACTACAAGAGAGGACTGTTTGTCTGTCTACCTGTCCCCTTGTCCAGGGTATATTTCTTATGCTTCGTCCATACAATTATTAAATTTGTATGCTATCGGGGCCTGTGTATCTTTTACAGAGTTGTGGCCCTTTGGTTAACATGCATTAGTTTGTCCAAGGCAAATGTCACATACTTCGTTCTCTACAATTGCCTAAATTGTGTATATTAACTACATTTCGTGATGGCAGAAGGTCCCATACTTAAGCCAAGTCTCCTGGATCACAATTTACTGAGTTATTGCCCTTTGTACATATTTGTCAATTTTGATATTTTTGTGATAGATAAACTTTCAAACTCGCTGAAGCTTGCTTCATGAAAATTATAACATTGCGTCTCATTGGAGATCCTACTAAATATCTCAATCTGAAGTTGAAGGTTATATGACTTTAGTTTAATTCGTAGGTGTTGATATAATAAGAAAGGCTCATAAATTCTGGTATATTTATGTGATCTTCATATCCATAATTTGTAACTACAAGTGGCATTTGTTTTACTGGACCAAGTATGAAGATAAATATTTAATTAAATCTTTTAGAAGTCAAAACAACAAATCAAATGATATATTGTATTTGTTGTTTTTACAGGTAACAGTCATGCTTGTTTTTTTCTTTTTCCTTTTTTTACTGCAACGGTAATTGGATAAACCGTTACAAGAAATTTTAGATGAATATCATTATCTACACAGATAGTGCTTTAAGCATTTGTACTTCGTTTTCTACCATTCTAGGTGCCGCTGGTAATTTTCTATCACCTATAACTGGACTGTCCTTTAATGCTTTCAAAACTGTAATGGAAATTGATGCTCACGGCACATTTAATGTCAGCAAGGTCATCTACGAGAAATACATGAAGGTTGGTAAGACTTTCAATATTCCTAATGGCCATAAATTGTTTTTCTGTTATTTAATTTTATTGATATTGTATTATTATTGTGATACGCATATTTGTAAAATATATTTGTTATTGACCTGTTTTTAGTGTCAAGCCCTGTTCAGACATGTTTTAAACAAATATGTGATCAATCACACTGAAACTTTCTGGAAGTGAAACATATGGAAAATCCTTTTATACATAAAATGGCCAACTTGTGATATTTGGAATTCAAGATGGCCACCATGGCCTCCGATTCGCGGAGACAATAACCGTTGTAACTTATGGAACTGACTTTATTCAAGTTTTTGTGGGAGTGATATCTAGGGGATATACTCTGTAATAAACGGCAGACTTTCGAGTTTCTGCATTCAGGATGGCTGCAATAGCCTCACGATTGGCTGAGAGAACAATGGTTATAACCTGAGATCATTTGGACTGACGTTATCAGTTTGAGTGGTTATTCTTTGTTGACATACTTTAAAATAAAAGACAGACTTTTACATTTTAGAATACAATATGATCCATGATTGGTTGAGATGACATAAGTTTTAACTTATATTCTATGCAGCTGATTTACTTTGGGTGTTTTACGTAAGGGATAACCATGTTTTAATTCAAGGATTCAAGATGGCCGTTATGACATCTGCATGGCTGACACAATAACATTGATATCTCTAGTTCTGTGGAGCTGACTTTGTTGCTTTTTTGTGGGAGTGATAAATAGTGGAAGGGAATATACATCATATCAAAAGGCCAACTTTTAAATTCAAGCATTTAAGATGGCAGCTATGGACCCTGATTGACTGATATATTAAAAATATGGGCGAGTGTTGGATATTATCATGCTATGGCTTATTTTCACTACTTTCATAAAGCAATTGAAAAAAATAAGGCTCTCTCTACACTCAATCATGAGCATGGATTGGTCCATCATCAGGTATGTGTGGGCTTTATTACCATGCATGGGCTTATTGCCTATAACTACAGTAATTGAGGGAAACATAAATTCTTGGACTTATTTCAAGCATCTGCTTATTTTATCAGATAGCTTTTGATAACATGTCATGCCATTTTTTTAAGGATCACGGCGGAGTGATAGTGAACATCACCGCCATGTTACACGTGCGTGGAACACCACTCCAGGCTCATGCCGGGTCAGCTAAGGCCGCGATAGGTAAGTCATCATGTCAATGGTCAAGCGAGTTTAATTGTCAAACAAATACAGGGAACAATTTAATAAAGTGAGTCAAATAAGGTAGGCTAGGAGTCGAACAAATACAGGGAACAATTTAATAAAGTGGGTCAAAGAAGGTAGGCTAGGAGTCAAACACATGTAAGGGTCAAAAAATGGTAGGGATGACACAATTGCAAGAATCATACAAGGGGAGGGAGTTTGTAAGAATCATACAAGGGTAGAGAGTCAATCATAGGAAGGGTTAAACAACGATAATTGGCCAGACAAATTTAAGTTTCATGCAAGGTAATTGTTATTCAGTTGTAAGGATCAGACAAGGATAGGGCTTAAACAATTCTAAATGTCAATCAAAGGTAGAGGTCGGCAAAATTCAAGAGTCACAGGATGGGCATTTGTGTGGTGAAAGTTTTTATTTTTATGCATTCAACAACAATTTTGACAGGGTATATTATGGTATAGGGAGTACCCGTCCGTCCACCCTCTGGTTTCTGCAAGAAAATATTGTTTGATTTTGATGAAACTAAGCTAGACGTTCCTAATTAATAATATTGTTCAGAGCATTTCAAGTTAGAATTCAGTTTTACTAATTAAAATCAGTCTCATATGTCACAGTCATATAATTCAAAATAATTTAGAGGGTCTGGTGAAAAATGTAAAAATTCTTATATTTCCAGAGGCGATGACCAAGCACATGGCTGTGGAGTGGGGGATGGACGGAGTGAGGGTCATGTGTGTGGCACCAGGACCAATTGAGGACACAGAGGGCCTGAGACGGCTAGGTAAGATAAACTAATTAGCCTGTTAAGTGTCCCTGTCCAGCAGCATGCATAACACTAGAGATCCCAGTGTTGTTGTTTTTCAAACATACAGTAACCTCCCCTTAATTTCGTTCTGGATATAACTGTAGCACAATTGGGCAAGAGCACTTCTGTTGACTAGGTAGCTAAGTTGTCAAGAGTACCAACACTGGCAACACTGTTGGGGTTTTCCTTTGATTTTTCAAGACCGATTGCTTTGGTTTGGTTTGTGTCCTTTTTACAGCTATGGTAATTTAATTAAGGACATTCTTCGATGTGTGAAATGTATGCATGCGTGCTGGATGCGGTATGTTGGTGTACTTAACCCTTTCACCCTTGTGTAACTTTAGTAGACTCTACCATGCATTGATCTGGATGAGTCCATTTTGGTCTACAGTGGTGAAAGGGTAATTGTTGTTTCCTTAAAATAGCACAGATCTGATGCCAACATTCGAGTGCTACCTCACTGAACTACCACACGGAAGGCACCCAGCATACTGTTTTACCCGGTTACATTATGCCGACAGCGGGTGAACCAGTTATTGCCATTACCATAACTGATGAACATTTAACAGGGAATACAAAATACCATTTGTAAGGACCTTTTGGTATTTTGGTATTTTCAGGCCTTGGGACAGAACCCATTGCCCGCTTCACTTGGGCAAATATTCAACACTGAAGCCAAAATTGATATATTGCCAAGCAATGCATTAGGAAACAATAGTAGAGAGAAAATTAAAGATACGAAATGTTGCCATGGATGCAGCAGATCAGTTTTGGTCACTTTTTATGTCCCTAAGTAGACGACACAAAAATAAATTCCTAATTATACAGGGGGTTCCCACATTAGTTGCCTCTTACAACAAGCAGTTGGTAACAGCAGGTATATTCTTTTCCCAACGTCTAATTAATCTCAAAGTGCAATTTAACCAATTTTGGTAAAAATAATCTTATTTTCATTACATCTGTTTTTTATATAACTCCATCTCACGGAAATCAAATGTAATGTCTGTGAATTTGAGATCCTTTTTGTATGTGTCACATAGTTATGTTTCCCTCAAAATATCATGAAGCATTGGAGTATGGTATATTTTACAGGTGGTAATGTAGTGCATGACGACAGGGTGAAGGGTATACCGATACAGAGATTTGGAAAGCGTGAGGACATCGGTAATACTGTCCTTTACGTGGTCAGTGATGCTGCTCAGCTGGTTACGGGGACAGTCATCATAGCGGACGGGGGTTCCTGGCTCACCTCCTCCAACGACTACAACTACATGAAAAAAATAATGCAGAAGAAATCGGTCCTGTAGAGCAGCCTTTCTAGTTATCTGAATGTTAATGTGTTAAAAAGTGAACTTTGCTTTTAAGTGTGGCCTTGTTTCTTGCCAGTGCAATTACTATAGAACAGAATGTCCCAAGAACAATCTTTAAGAATTCCTTCGAAATCTTTACTAGCTGGAATTAGTTTGAAACAAAAGGCATCCATGCTGTATCTATATTATAACCAGAAACATAAAGGGAGGTAACTCATACATAATAATATACAACATTTGATAAAGCGTCCTATCTAGCTAACATAAGCCACTCTAAAGCGCTTTACAGTACATAGATATACAATTAATACAATTAGCATATACATTAATCAATACAATTTTGAGGAATTCGCAGGAGCTGCCTTATCCGTCATATGCCACCTGGCTAATATCTCCCTATGTGTGTATGCCTGCGTGTGTGTTAGAGATGTAATGTGTTCTGTTTGTAGTGGGACCGTACTTCCAACGGTATCATTTATAGTACCACTTCACTTGAATGCTACAGCACTGATACTGCAACATCCACCCCAGACCATTTTATACTCCACCTGGGTTGTTGGAGTTATGTGGGCACCAGAAAAACACTTTCTCTGAATATCCGTGCATACGAAAACTTCGGGGATTGAACCCCGGCCGCCTGCGTGGAAGGCCGGAGTGTNAGTCCCACCCTCTCTCGATTCTATCCCACTCCACATTTTTTTTTGTAAAGAGGAGGTTGGAAATAATGAAGAAGCAGATCAGAAACGGAACTGTTTATAGAAGGACAGATAAGTCTATATAATACTACCAAACCATTATTTCAGACATGTATTTCTGTGATGATAGACTTTTGCTCCCGACGCAATATTCTATATTTCTTTTACAGCTCATTTTTGTTATTTTAACGGAGCCAAAGACAGATTAACCTTAACATCCAAACTTATAATTCAGATATTATGCACCACTTTCTGTCAAGTTTTAAGGAATATCTGAAATGCATAATACTTTAGACACTTACTGTTCAGCGTTTTATTGTTGTTGTTGTTGTTTATATGGTAACTATATTATGTCATATATAATACATATATAATACATGTTGACCTCAGGGTCTGTTGAATTGAAATAAATAAATAAGTTGATAGAAGATTTAGCAATAGTTACATAATTTGTTGGTCTTTGTTTTCAAGTGTCAATAATCCAGAAATAAACTTCTCTTATGTATTATTTGTTCGTGTTTGGGGTATATTGAGATTGTGTTACTCCAGAAAGTCTAACTGTTTACATTTATAAAACCTTGCCAGAGATATGTTGGTGTGTAATTGTTTATAATTTATTCATTATTAAATCAAAATTTATGATTATGTTTTCTAGTTGTCATGTTTCAAGTTGTGTTTCTGTATAAAGAATCTTATTAATGACATGTAACTCATACATAATACCTGGCAAGATAAAAATAGATTCTATATAATGAGGGTGCGTTAAGATTGTTTCATACTCTAAATGCAATGCACACATAACTTGTTCTTTTTTCCGTCTAAAAGTAAACCCCTGTCCATAAGATATAATGTTTTGGACGAGTCACGATCTAAATTGATAGTTTTTTTTATAATACCAGCACCCATATTCAAGTGAAGTATTGTTCATTCGTAATTCCATTCCAGTGGTCGCATGAAATGCAAAAGGATCAGCCAATTAAAAGGAATTTGTAGCTCAACATCATAGGTTGCACCAACAAGTCACCTTCCTCAACCTGCAAATATACCATTCAAATTCAGAATTTTGTGCGCCATTTTCTTATGAAATTAATTGTCGATAACGGGTTCTGCTCGTCTGAGCATTGTCATTTTGCTCACCTATGGTGATCAGGTGTTTAGGTAAGTTATTTATTCTCCAGAAATAGATAAGAATCAATACTTGGTCCTATTCTATTCCTGTTTTAAATATTTTACCATTACATAGAACATCCACCAGAGTGTCCCCAAGGATAAATACTTGGTCCTATTCTATTCCTGTTTTAAATGTGTTGCCATTACATACAACATCCATCACAGTCCCTAAGGATCAATTCTTGGTCCTATTATATTCTTGTTGTATATGTTTTTCCATTACATACAACATCCACCACAGTGTCCTCAAGGATCAATACTTGGTCCTATTCTATTCCTGTTTTAAATGTTTTACCATTACATACAACATCCACCACAGTGTCCCCCAAGGATCAATACTAGGTCCTATTCTATTCCTGTTTTGAATGTTTTTCCATTACATACAACATCCACCACAGTGTCCCCAAGGATCAATACTTGGTCCTATTCTATTCCTGTTTTAAATGTTTTACCATTACATACAACATCCACCACAGTGTCCCTAAGGATCAATACTAGGTCCTATTCTATTCCTGTTTATATAAATGATTTGCAATTATGTATGCGTAATATGCAACATGCCATCCTCTAGGTCCAAACATTGCCTTTACAAAGCGATATGGAACACATAAAAAAATGGTGTCATAATGATGGAATGTACATAAATGTAGAAAAGACAACCACTATGTTAGTAGGTACTGTGAAGAGGTAGATGTAGATAGCATACCGCTAACCAATGCTTCGCCACAAAAACCCTTAAGTGTGCGTATTGGTAACACTTTAACATGGAATCAGTTTCCATATTGAAAGAATTTGTAAATCTATATAGCATCAAAAATATCTCTCTTGCATAAGCTAAAAATGTCCTATCTATACCAGCTAAAAAAACTCGTCTATGTTTCATATTACATGTCAGTACTGGATTATTGTTGTACTGGATGATGACCAACTACACAGAAAAATAACAACTGCACGGTAAAACTTCAAAAACGTGCAGCTAGAATCGTTTTAGATGCTGATTTTTACAACTCCATTGAGGAAATTGTTTGCAACCCTCAATTGCTTACCATTTGAGAAGAAAATTCTGTTACACAAATGTATTTTTGTATACAAGCCTATTAATAGCCAAACATTACCTTGCACATCAGACATGCTTATTCCTATTAATTCTACAAATACTGATCAAGGATCAGCTGCAAACCAGAACTTGCAGTTATCAAAACCTAGAATAATGATATACTCTAAAACGATCTTTTAGTTATTCTGGTCCTGAACCACGGAACCGGCTTCCTATTGCAATTAAGAAGCCTGTAATAGAGACGGGTCTCAACCCAACCGGTCGGGTCGCTACAAAACATATTCATGTCACAATAGTGTCCTAAGTGATGATGGGTAAAATCTGGTGCAGAGTCGGGGTCAACATACCAGGGATGTTCTCGCCTATCAGGACGGTGCACTGTGACCTGGTTGTCTTATCCTTTGTACATACTTCATCGTATTCATTCTTAATAAATATTATAGGAACTATCCATTGGTGTCCTCGTGTATATATATATCAACCCAATGACAGAACCCATCGAACTCAGGTTGACGGTAGCTATAGGCGATGCGGGACTTGGGCACCTGAGCGTGTGGGGCCCGACTATTACGAGCCAGCAATCTTAATGAATTCAAAGAAAAATGTCAAAAACAAATATCTGTCCAGTCATTATCATATATTTATGTACTATGATGCAGAATGTTTGTTGTTGTATATTATCTATATTATTTACTTTTTAAAGAGATTCTCATGGGAATTAACCCTTGTTATTTGGTAAAATCTAAAAAAAACCCACATTATTATTGTTATACCACGGAATTAGATTAGATTTGCTATTTAAGTCCGTAATTATACCAAGTAGTCAATATTGATGGTTTGCAACAGACACCTAGCCTCTACATCCATCTTAGATTAAATGTATACAGTTTTAACCATACAGAGACTACGTACAACGAAAGTTTGACTGATTTTCTGGCCTTCCTTAATATTCAGCAGCTTAATTCTGCAACTTGGATCTTCCTTCCCCAGATCCCCTTGAATCCGGATATTCAACCTAGTTTCTATAATAGTTGGGTCAGACTAGGTTTGGGAAGGAAAAGACGCGAATGCATGAATCTATATCGTTATAACACGGAATTAGATTAGATCTAAGTCCGTGATTAAAATACATGTCTATGATGAACTTGCCATTCAAATATTTGGTGTTTGAACGAAATGAGGGAGAGAAGAGAAGTGGGCGGTAACCCTTTCGAACCGGAAGCACGTGTTTGGGCTACTTCCGTGTAAATAATCTCCTGACACAGTCCATAGTTCTTCAACACCCTTGCCTCTTGCCAGACCACCTGTCGCTATAGTCATGTCTCAGACGCCGTCACACGTGGAGGAATGCATCAAAGACTACAAGTACATCTTTCGGCCGGATTTACTCAGGTGACAGTCGATGCAACTGACATTACACAGCCAGCAATTCTGCATGTCCGTTTTCATATGATCGCGTTATGTACAAATGGTTGGCTCATGATCTGACATAGCCAAGTCGTGCAAAAATGTTCAATGCATGTGTAGATATTTTTTCATTTCTGCTAGTCTTCAGCCTTCATAACGGTGAATAAGATTTTTAGAAGTAGACCAAAAAGTCATTCTGCATAAACGAGTGACCGGTACACCTGACCGGGGTCAATAACTATGCTGTCATATTTGCTTATCTTATGTCCTATTACGTATATGACTTTTTTTTTAAAAAGAGACTAGACTATTTTCCACTTACCAGTGACTAAATGCGAGTCCCGAGTCCTATACTCACAGATTTTTTTATGGGACTCACAGAATTTCTGGAAATACTTAAATTTAACATTGTGGGACTCATTGTTTTGAGCAGCAATACATTTGAAAAGGGCTTGTAAAAATGAATTGTAGATTAATTACTGGGATTCACTGAAATGTATCTCAAAATCTGGAATTTACAACGTATAGTTTTAGAAAATTGTACACTTTGACATCATTCACAGGGGTCTGCAATTCTGTCCATAATGAAAAACAGTAATAAGAAATTAACCTGTACATGCTTAAATCAATTTTCAGCATATAGGGATATACATGTGCTGGACACACTAATAGTAATATAATGTGTAAAAATACTATATATTAGTATATACACATCATATTTTAAAAAAAAACTATTATAGTGTGTTTAGCACCTGTGTATTGCTGTATTCATTTTGCCAGTGCATTGAATCTATCAATAAACATAATTTTAAAGTTACATTATTATTACAAAAACATTAAGATATATCTTTATGTAATGTGTTTATGGTATTGTGTGTAATCCCCAAGTTGGCTATGTGATAAAAGTGTCTATAGTGTTTCTGTTTCTGATGGTTTCGGGTTGTTTCGCCCGAAATCCAGTTTGCCCTAGGTTGTTTTGCCCTAAAACAAAACTTTTAGGGCGAAACCTTATTTAGTATTTTCTTTCAATTTTAGAAGTTTTAAGTCATAAATTAAGTCTTCTTATAGTCTTCCATATCATTAAAATTAATTTTATAAAAAAAATGTATTTGTGTTGTTTTTCAGGGAGTGTGACAAATGGCAGCTGTGAAAAGCTGACTCCGCACTTGCACAGTTGCATGTTTTTCTACATGAAATACATCTAACAACAAAATAGAAAGTTATCAATAAGTTTAGTTGATACATTTAATTATTTATTATTATATAAGCGTATAAATTTAAAAAAAAAAATTGGGCGAAACAACCTAGCGGGAACGGGTTTTAGGGCGAAACAACCTGTTACAGTTTCTGATTTTTAATTATGCTAAACAAGCATGGGATGTGGTTGTGGTTATTATTGTACAGGATTAGAGTAGATAAGAAGAATTGTTTCTTGTTCTGATGTGGGTTTTTTTGTTTCAGGGGAAAAGTTGCTTTTATCACCGGGGGAGGAACAGGGATATGCTTCACCATTGCAGAAGTCTTTATGAGGTAAGTTGATAACTTACTGCTGTAAATAATATATTAAGCTAACACTTGTGTAAATATTCTGAAATTCTGTGTATTATATTTATTGACTGAACAATTTCCCATGTATTTAATAACATTGAAAGAATGAAGACACCCTACAGATAAGTAAAGACATGTTTAGTTACATTTGTTAGTTGTTAAGACATTTTGTATCATGCCTGGGTTTTAAACTTTCAGACATCAGTGTGATACAGTAATATGTAGTCGCAGGATGGACAAATTGAAGGAATCTGCAGAGACGTTGTCCAAGGCCACAGGTCGGAGATGTGTCCCGGTACAGATGGATGTCAGGAAAGTATGTGTCACAGTCAAGCTTTATAATGTTCTTCCTGTTGATATTCTCCAAGTCTTGCTGAAATATCATTTGATATTTTTGGTAACATTATGTCTAATATCCATACAGTGTAAATCAGAGACGTATATATTAATATATGTCTCTGGTATAATTGTAACCCCCCCCCCTCTCTCTCTCTCTCTCTCTCTCTCTCTCTCTCTCTCAGAAAACTTATATTTTACATCTTTAACACCATCAGTCTCATCTAAATTGAAATATTACTTTCCACACCTTTTTTAACTATGAAACTTTCCTTATTTTCAAAAGTGTTGAAAATGTTAGATTTTTGTTTCTAAAACTTAATGGGTATCTATATATTTAAGAAACAAATATTACTGTACATTTTCTTATTGATAGAATATTGATGATATTGTACAATTTTTTATATTAACCTGCTTTTGATAATTTTTTTGCAGCCGGAATCCATTATAAAAGCTGCAGAGTCAGCACTCACAGAGTTCGGCAGAATAGACTACCTAGTGAATGGTTTGTACACATCTTATCACTGTAAATGGTATTGTGTTTTTTCATGATTTCAAAAATATCAAATATATAGTGTCACATGCTGAAGCTATTGTGTAATGTTGAAGTTTTTGTTTTGTACTGTTACATGTACTACAAGAGGGGACTTCGGTTTGCCTTTCTCCTTTTGTCTGTCTGTCATTCAGTCCAAGGGCTGCAACGATTTATCGTTTTGTATCGTATCGCGATACTTTCTTGTGTGTGTTAAATCAATTTGTTTGTTTGCCTGTATTGCAATACACTAATAGTACTTAAATTATCAATAAACATTTATCAAACTCTTAAAGGAGTGGACTGATATTTTTTTAATCCTTCAGTACAGATGTGGTCCACTGTGCAGTCATACCCAAAAGTACTAGATAATATACAAAATTATATTTTGATAGTATTTACTATTGAAGTCTGTGACAAAACTTGATAAAATCCTTCGCTCAATCATGATGATGTTGACCTTTTAAGCAGATATTTGTATTGTGATAGGTATCCTATCGTAAGCATCATACCACGATATATATTGTTTGGTGAGGTTTGCGTATCATTGCAGCCCTACTGACACCTCTTTGGATAGCAAAGTGTTGTGTACTAAAATTCAGCCTAGTGTCCAACTATTGTCAGAGTTATGCCCCTTCGTTCACCACAGGTCACTTTGCCCGATGCATTCTCGTATACTTTGTCACAAATAATTGACCAAAAAGTTTTGCAGATATTCATTGTGATGGAAGGATGTCAAATACTTAAATCAGGGGTCAATCCGTCATACATTTGTACTTTACTTCAGAGTTATGGCCCTTTGTTCATATTTGTCAGTTCAGCGATAAATATATGCTCTCAAACTTGCTTAATATGTTTTTCTTGAAAAGTATGAAAAGGGACTACATTTGAATTCCTATTAATCAAAAATAAACATTTAACCCAATTTCATTTCTCCTGGCTGCAATAGTGGGTATAATCAATGAAAAAAATCATTTGTTTTGAACAATCAAACAGTAATGCCTTTCCAACTGAAAAAAAATGGAAAACAAAGTTACAATTGTTTTCAGGTTCCTTGGTAGCCTTGATTGCTAACACGCAGTAATTTCTACTGTGTGCAATCAAGCATAAGAGCTTCAGACTACTCATTCTCACAAGAATTTTGGTTAGATCTCCAGCATTGGAGGAAAAAGAGAGTGATGTCTGTTACCCTTCCTAGGGCAAGGTGGTTTTCCCCCATGTGTTTTCCTCCACCTCAAAAACCTTAGCAATAAAAGCTCTACAGAGCTTATGTTTGTTGTTGACAATGTACACAAGCTTAAATAAAGATTATTATTATTACAATAAATAAAAATATTTTCAGAATTAAGAAATTTAACAATTTTCCATCAGAGTGCTTTAACAGTTGATTTTGTAATATTGTCTCTGTTTTCTGTTACTCTAGGTGCGGCTGGTAATTTTCTGTCACCTATAACTGGACTGTCCTTTAATGCTTTCAAAACTGTAATGGAAATTGATGCTCACGGCACGTTTAATGTCAGCAAGGTCATCTACGAGAAATACATGAAGGTTGGTAGACTTTCAATAAAGTTCATGACAAATCAGTTTTTTTGTTATTTGCTTTTATAATCACGCACTCCATCCATCTGTCCGTCAATCCATCTGTTCATTATCCTTGTAAGCGCAACTCCTCCTTAATTGTGTTGATTTTTTTTTAACTTGACACAGTGAAAGGAAGTTGTATGTAGATGTACAAGGAGAAAGGAATTAGTGAAACAGCTAGTTTTTCTGTAGCTATGGCCCTTTTAACTTAAAATTTCTGCTTCAGAACCTTGTAAGTAAACCTCCTTAACCGTTTGTTGGCATGTTTGGTAACTTCGCACAGTCAAACTACATCATATGTACACATGCATGAAGAAAAGAATTTGTGATTTGTCTGTTTTTTCTGGAATTATGGGTCTTGAAATTTTAATTTCATTGTTTAGATAATTCACTTAATAATATAAAATAACAAAATTAAATTGAATTATGTGTACTTAACTTTCCAGTCATATGTATTGCTTCCATGCTGTTGAGCTTTGGGTTGTTATCTGTTCAGGTAACTAAGGGATACTAGAAGCTTGAATGGACAAACATGCCCAGGCACCAACAAAAGAGTCTAGAAAATACTTATAGGCAGACTTTGGTTTTCTTCTTTAAGAAATATAATAAAGGGAAGACTCTATCACAACTTAATCAAGTGTCACTCGTAGGTGGTACTTAATTCATAGGCCGACTCACTGGTGATCGAGGCTTGAAAAACATGATATGATAGATTTTCTCTTTATTGTATTTACTACTTCATCAATCTACCTGCATATTTTGTTATCTGCGCTCAATCTCAGAACCCCACAAAACAACCCACTAAACTTTGGACTTTTAAACTTACCAAACAGTACTTCTCTTAATTTTTGCTTCTCTCCCCTTGGTTTCACAGTAGTTGAGACAATTCTGATTTCCAACTCTTCGGACCCTAGCATAGCCGATGAGTCCTAGATTGATTATTTATCTGTATGATGCAATGTAATTCATTGTTGGCATACTGTATCTATTACCATACTGTATCTATTACCATACTGTATCGATTACCATACTGTATCTATTACCATACTGTATCGATTACCATACCGTATCTATTACCATACCGTATCGATTACCATACCGCATCTATAGCCATACGGTTTCGATTACCATACCGTATCTATTACCATACTGTATCGATTACCATACTGTATCGATTACCATACTGTATCGATTACCATACTGTATCTATTACCATACCGTATCGATAACCATACTGTATCTATTACCATACTGTATCTATTACCATACTGTATCGATTATCATACTGTATCGATTATCATACTGTATCTATAACCATACTGTATCTATTACCATACTTTATCTATTACCATACTGTATCTATTACCATACTGTATCTATTACCATACTGTATCGATTACCATACTGTATCGATTATCATACTGTATATATAACCATACTGTATCTATTACCATACTGTATCGATTACCATACTGTATCTATTACCATACTGTATCTACTACCATACTGTATCGATTACCATACTGTATCAATTACCATACTGTATCGATTACCAAATTTGTAAGGAGCAATCACCTATGTGTGATTAATTCATCACTCAAAGGAGACATACAACTCTCCCGATTTTGGACCCAAAAATTGAGCAGGTTGAAACCTGTGAATCTCCCACATGGAAATTTCAAAAAGTTGGCAAGTATGAGAAGAGTATGGGCTCATTTCAGGACAATGAAATAGCATTTGTTGGAATTTCTACTGAACTGCAGTAGATATGAGTGGGCTTATTAACAGGCATGGGCTTATTTGTGGGTAAATAAAGTAATTCAGAAAAACCAAGTTCTTGAATTTCTTCCAAGCAAGCACCTACTAAGTACTTATCTTATCAAATGGTCTTTGTTATGTAAGGACTGACTGGAAATGAACCCGACAAAAGTTGATGTTGTTTTTTCTTTTTTTTGTAGGATCATGGCGGAGTAATGATTAACATCACAGCCACAATACAGACCCGCGGAACAACACTCCAGGCTCATGCCGGATCAGCTAAGGCGGCCATAGGTAAGTCATCATGTCAATGGTCAAGCAAGTGTAGTGGTCAAGTAAACAAAGGGACCAATCAAATAAAAGGGGTCAGACAAGGTAAGGGGTGAAGAAGTTAGGGCAAGCTACAAAGAAAGGACTTCAGGGTTAACAAGGATAGCAGTCAGACGTTGGTTTACATGATCGTTAGTGTCTAATGACTGTTAGGGTCAAACAAGGGTCAAACAAGGGTCAAATAAGGGTAAGGTTAAAACAATTGTAAGGATCTAACAACTTGAATGGTCAGACAGTCGTAAAGATCAAACAATGATTGGGTACAAACAATTGGAAAGGTCAGACAATTTTCAGGGTAAACCGAGGGTAGGGGTAAAACTGTACGAGGATTATACAAGGGTTGAGATTCAACTTTGTGAGGACCAAATATGGGAAGGGGTAAAACTGTACGAGGATTATACAAGGGTTGAGATTTAACTTTGTTAGGACCAAATATGGGTAGGGGTCAGACAAATAATGGGGGCACAGATGGACTAGTCTGTACAGTGAAAGTTTTAGATTTTCAAATAATACATGGTGTCTATGTCTTTATTTTTCACTTAAGATGGATTCATTGAAGTGCACTATTTGTACATCACAGTCTCATACCTACCTGGTTTAAAGCATATATTTATTTTTAAACACATGATATTTATATTACCAGAGGCAATGACCAAACACATGGCTGTGGAGTGGGGGATGGATGGAGTGAGGGTCATGTGTGTGGCACCAGGACCAATTTCAGACACGGAGGGTATGAGACGACTAGGTAAGAAGGACTTCTCAGCCTCCTAAAAACTAGTGCTACTTTTTTTTAAGGTAGTTCTTCATAAACATGAAAAACTAGACAGTCTATTTTAAGCCTTAAATATCACCTTCAGTATACCAAGGAATTTTCAATGTAGTTTAATTTTTACCTCTGAAATGAGGGCAAATTTATCATTACTGCAAAAATTTGTAAACAACATAATAAACAAAGTAATGAAATGTAAAGGGCGAATGTAAAATTGTGAAAAAAAATAATTTTACCAGCGAAGGGCAATAGTTTATCTGGAGAAAAGTTTTATGGTATACTGTACATCATTCTTTACACCGCATTATTTTAGCTTATAACTTGGCATTTATTTGGTTCACCTGGTTGGAAGGACCAAAGTAAGCCAATGCTTCTGCTGTGGCTGTTATATATCTTTCAGTCTGACATGATCCTTTTCCTTTAAAAGGCTACTCCTCCTGAAGTGCTGATCAGATTTTCTTTTTATAAAATTTGGTCTGAAGCAACATTGGACAATTTAGACACAACTTTGCATAAACTAAGTGTGAGTTCCCCTCCCAAGGGTTTGGGCAGAGTAGGAGAAATTTAGAGGTGTACAAAATAAAGGACCATTGTAACTCTGTTTGAAATAGTGAAAGAGAATCTCTTTTTTTTTTTACAATTAAGCTGTTTTGATATTTTTTATCGTAAGTGTAATTTGATTCAACATTATTGATTTTGTTGGCAAGGCATTTTGTTGGCATGGCATATTGAAGTGAGTTAAAATACATACTCTATACCAGGATACTTTTTCCCTACCCCGTCAAAATACATATTCACTCGGTATTAATTTTGCCCTTTTGTTTGCTGTAATGATAAATTTGCCTTCATTACAAAAGGTGAAAAGGTGATAATTGAACTGCGGTGTAAATTTCCCGATATACAATGTTGAATTTTCTGAGAGATCTTATTCTTAAAATTAATACTTTGCAAAAATGTATCTGATACCAACATCCTACATAAAAAGATTTAATCTTGGCTGCAGGAATAAAACCCGCACATAATATTTTTGATTTAAAAAATTTGCTTTCAGTCATTGTGACATCACAAGGAACAATACAAGCATGAAATAATAATACATGCATCACAAATTCACCGCATCAGAAAAACTAATGGTGTTTTCATTTATTTTTTCCTGTAAAATAATCACAAAGTGTGCAATTTAGCATGGTTTTGGTTAGAGATATGAGAAAAACAATCGCAAACTCATTCCATTTCCGTTACAAATTTAATGAAACTTGCTGAAGCTGGTACAGGAAATGGGAATCAGTTAGGTTTGCCTCCAAAAAACAACTTAATGAAGCAATGATTTATGTTATATGTTACAGGTGGTAGGAGTATTACTGATGACTATGTGCAGAGTATACCGATACAAAGAATGGGAAAGCGTGAGGACATCGGCAATACTGTCCTTTACGTGGTCAGTGATGCTGCTCAGCTGGTTACCGGGACAGTCATCGTAGCGGACGGGGGAGAATGGCTCACCTCCTCCAACGACTACAACCAGAGGAAGAGACTGCTGCAGAAGAAATCACATCTATAGACCAATGTTTCTAGATAGCTGAAAGGATGTGTTAAAAATGATATATTTGTTTGTGTATAGTCTCGTTTCTTGCCAGTACAATACCATTACAACAGAAAAAAATCATTTCCCCAAAAAACTCTGTTTGAAATTCTATCGTGGAGTCAGATTAAAACAACTGGCCTCCGAGCTTAATCAATATTATAACCAGTTACACACAAGGAAAGGAACTTATACAAGGCTCAAACCTGTATGGTTTGATTCATGAAGAATAAAACAGTCTTCATGCAACCTGTCTTCACCCCTAGCCTCCAACCCTATATTTCTTCCCCTCTACCCCACCCCCTCCTCATGGGATCCCACGTTACATTATTTTGACCACAGCTTATTCAGCCTCGATCTCTACCGCCAAATCCCTCAACATTTAATCCAGGATTACAGTATTACACAGTTAAAAACCAATGGTGCTATAATTAGTTTGTATTCACATTCCAGACTATGTTCATGTGTGTTTGTGTCAAAATCATTTGATTGCTAGTTCTGTAGTTGTGTTATTACGTAGATAAAGTATATATCGAAGCATGTTTTGTTGTGTGTCTGCGGTCAGTACACTATCACACTTAGGTAGTGTACTATTGGGTGAAACAAGTCTATCAACAAACATACACCACCTCTTGATTACTTGTTGAGAGAGCAGTTCTTGTAATTTATGCTATCAGTGGCCTGATGAGAGCTAAGGATCAAAATTAAAAAAAAAAAAACATTCTTGTGAAGGATATGCTTTGGAATCTTTTCAGTTGAAATTTGCATAATACATACATACATTCATACATACATACATACATACATTCATACATACATTAATATATTCATACACTGTGTTTGTTGAAGACAACTCAGCCAAAGACATCCCTGTTAAAAAAAATTGAGACATTCCTATCGATAAACTTGATGCTTTAACCTATTTTGTTTTGTCTGGAAGTCTAGATAATTCAAATTCTGTTTTAGGTGTACAAAGCCATCAACATTGGTAATTTTGACACTTGGGAGCCTTTCGTCACATTGGTTCAGTTTTCATTAATGTAAACTGTTTGTGTAAAATTTAAATTTAAAATATGAATATTTAGAATGCTATGCCTTAAGGCTATTCATTTAATTATGAAAAAACACCATATGGCGTTGTATTGCATTTTTTTTTTATATAAATAGAACTTCATGCCCAAACCTATATATATTCAGATTTTTTATTTGTAGATTTCTCCAATCTTTGAGCTCAGGAAACATAAAAAGTATACAAACATATAATGATTTGGTTAGTACCTATAATTTTTATGTTACAGTGACAATTATTGTTGAAATTAAAGCAGACTGTGATATATGAAAGCTGTTTGTATCAGATAATAAAGTGATTTTTGAAATTATCTTTGTATTTTTTCAACTTTTACATAATTAAGACTGTATAATCATTGCAACTATATATATATATATATATACCGACTAGAAATTATTGATCAGGGTTACTTCCCTTTCCCCAATCTAGTAATGACACTAGAAAGCATTCGTTATCACGATCCAAACGGTTGGACCAGTTGTTTGCTAATGAAATAAAGTCGGACCTAGTAATCTGATGCTGCTTTTTAGGCGGGCCATGGCACAGCTTTGCAAGTCCTGCATAAACATTGGCAGGTCCGCCAGGATTTTTACTCCGAAAAAGTTTACATTTGAAAACAGACAAACTGGTTGAACCGGAAATGCAAAAGGGTCTTAGGCACCTGAGTTTAGGGTGTGACACGGACAATATCAATAATAGGAAGTATTTTTGCCTGTGAACTCTTTCTTCTGTGTAAAACATTAAGTTAAGTATTTCAAATATACAATACCATGAGATACTTACTGAACATTTAATAATGTAAACCTTTCTCAAATATACCTCAAATAAGCTTATTTACTTTAGAAAGAGTTAAAGTACTAGGTTTATGGTGTCATGAAGTGCATGTGAGATTATGGTATAGCCTAGCATACCACTGTCTGTTTGTCCTTCAATTTTTCCTTTCACTGGCTACTCTTGAAAACAGAAAGAGAAAGGGTCCTGATAACTGGCCTGTAGGTATGGTGAAGTGCTTTTAAGTTTCCTATATAAGTGACCTTGACCTACGTTTAGGTCAACTTGAAAGTCAACTTTGAACAATGGCTGGGGTCAAAGGTTACCATCATGCATGGGCTTTTATGGGTTAAATGCTTTAAGAAGCTCCTTTTTAAGTTTCATAAGATCCGGGCTCCTGATATTTTTCCAGTAGGCACATAGGATGGAGTGCTATAGAAAAATCTTCTTAAAAGAATTTGATCAAGATCAGAGGGGTCAAATATAAAACATTTCAAGCAACACTTTCTAAAGAACCGTAAGGCCAAGAACCATGTTACATGGGTATGATATGTAGACAAGTACATTAATTGTAGTTCAACATTTGTCTTTGTCTTTTGATAAGTTCTACGGAGCATCATCGACATCGTGGAGACTTGAGCAAAAACAAATTTAGAAATATTTGCAATACTACCTTCAATGAAAATATGTTGCCATGATTGTTTAGATATCCAGGTGGACAACGCATGCCCTGTGGACCTTATGCTGACTGAGGCTTGGAATAAATTATAAAACAAATGATGTAAACTAGTATCACAAGCATACAGGATAGACAGTTTTAGTCCTCCAGATGGTGGACTGATTGATTAGCCTTTCGTCCGTGATCTGTTATTTTTCTGCTTTCAACTACGCATACTTGTTAATACCTCACAAGTACTTGACGTTTTTAATGCAGTCTACATATTATTTTTGTATTACAACTTTACCACGTAATTTTTATTAATGACAGGGCGTCACTACCACACGTGTCTGTATAATTAATGGTGCATGCATTTTATCCATGGATCTTCCGGCGTTTTGTGCAAAATCGCATATTATCATTTATAATAACAACTAACATTTGGATGGAATTGTTTTTCTAGGTAAGTTTATCTTTAAATTTCAGTTCATAAAAAATAAATATGTTGTATGACGCGTTTCGATTTTCTAAGAACTCTTTCTGTGCTGATCACGTAATCTTATTCCATGAATCTGTACATCATTTACGTAGGTGTGATAATGATACATGTCAAGCCTACTCCAGACTGACTCTGACCAGACCGCAAACAGACTTTAAACATGAACATGGACAAGTATTCCTGCTTGTTTCTGATCAGGTTTTTACTGACATCTGCAGAAATCCATCACGGTGCTGATAGTAAGTTATAACAAGGATATATTGTTTGAACCGCTTTGAGGCGACCTTCGAACTAGGTTGTGATAAAGCGGTATGTAAAAACCTCGAATTTGTATTATATGATATATATTCTTATGTATATATTTCAATAGAAATATTGCTGGAGACGCATCGTTTAAATTAATTTAAGGGGTACAATGATGTAGTTTTCCTATATTAATCATAACATCTGAAAATTGACAGATATTCAGGGAAGATTGCAATATGCTACAATAATTTGTATTCCTAGAACATGAGTAATATGTAACACTTTTATGTAGAAATTGGCCTTTGAGCATCTCAGCATGTTTCCATGATGGATAGATTTTTTTTCTTGCAGTTTTGGAAATTATCACTCAACAAGCAAGCTTAATTTGGATATTTTTGATCAAATATTCACATATCTGTAAAATCTGTAATAAATATGCTTAAAAACAAACAGGTGGTAATGTATATTGCATGCTATTCCAATTTTAAAATAATTTCCTAATAGGCAATTATTGCAAAATACTTGTATTGGTATTGCAATATTATTGCTTACTCGTATACGTCGGTTCGGCAAAAGGACTAGATTATAACTCGAAGTTGGTTAGACACAGATTAAATTATAACTCAAGGTGGGTTAGACACAGACTAAATTAGAACTCAAAGTTGGTTGGACAAAAAGACTATATTATAACTCAAAGTTGGTTAGACACAAGGACTAAATTAGAAATCAATTTTGGTTAGACACAAAGACTAAATTAGAACTCAAAGTTGGTTAGACTCAAGGACTATATTAGAAATCAATTTTGGTTAGACACAAGGACTATATAAGAAATCAATTTTGGTTAGACACAAAGACTAAATTAGAAATCAATTTTGGTTAGACACAAGGACTATATTAGAACTCATAGTTGGTTAGACACAGACTATATTAGAACTCAATGTTGGTTAGACACGGGGACTAAATTAGAACTCAAAGTTGGTTAGACTCAAGGACTATATTAGAAATCAATTTTGGTTAGACACGGGGACTAAATTAGAACTCAGAGTTGGTTAGACACAGACTATATTAGAACTCAAAGTTGATTAGACACAGACTAAATTAGACCTCAAAGTTGGTTAGACACAAGGACTATATTAGAAATCAATTTTGGTTAGACACAAGGACTATATTAGAACTCAATGTTGGTTAGACACGGGGACTAAATTAGAACTCAGAGTTGGTTAGACACAGACTAAATTAGAACTCAGAGTTAGTTAGACACAGACTAAATTAGAACTCAAAGTTGGTTAGACACGGGGACTAAATTAGAACTCAAAGCTGGTTAGACACAAGGACTAAATTAGAACTCAATGTTGTTTAGACACAGACTAAATTAGAACTCAAAGTTGGTTAGACACAAGGACTATATTAGAACTCAATGTTGGTTAGACATAGACTAAATTAGAACTCAAAGCTGGTTAGACACAAGGACTATATTAGAACTCAATGTTGTTTAGACACAGACTAAATTAGAACTCAAAGTTGGTTAGACACAAGGACTATATTAGAACTCAATGTTGGTTAGACACCGACTATATTATAACTCTAAGTTGGTTAGACACAAGGACTAAATTAGAACTCATAGTTGGTTAGATAGAAAGACTAAATTAGAGCTCAAAGTTTGTTAGACACAAGGACTAAATTAGAACTCAAAGTTGGTTAGATACAAAGACTATATTATAACTCAAAAGTGGTTAGACACAAGGACTAAATTAGAACTCAAAGTTGGTTGGACACAAGGACTAAATTAGAACTCAAAGTTGGTTAGACACGAGGACTAAATATGAACTCATAGTTGGTTAGATAGAAAGACTAAATTAGAACTCAAAGTTTGTTAGACACAAGGACTAAATTAGAACTCAAAGTTGGTTAGATACAAAGACTAAATTAGAACTAAAAGTTGGTTAGACATAAGGACTTTATAAGAACTCAAAGTTGGTAAGACACAAAGACTTAATTATAACTCAAAGTTGGTTAGATAAAGGACTAAATTATAACTCAAAGTTGGTTTGTCAAGACAACAACAGGAACCAGCAGACATCGAAGCACGATATGAAACTGTATGTGTTCATTCGTCAGCGTCAGTCTAAAGACAGATGATTTCCATGTGCTAATGACATATAATTGGGGGAAGGCCATGGAAACAATTTACATTTCGTCAATATCAATAGGCCAGATATCGAATAAGGCATTACGTCAGTAAATATCTTTCATTTTCAATTTTCAGTTATCTCAAAGGTAGTATGCCCGGTCATGGAGAGTCGGTCAATATTGTAGTTTATCTTTTAGAGACATTATTTCTTGGAATGACGTTATCATCTTTCTGTGGAATGAAGTTGTTTTTCAATAGAGTACTTTGGAATGAATCACCTTTACAGGTGCATGATTAATGTTTACGCTAATATACGAGTAGTAAACATACTGAACACCGGGAAATGTTCCCTGCATTTTAACTTTCGTCTTTTTCGCCCTCCGTAATGAGGGCGTATATATCATTACAGCAAATGCTAGCGAACAGCATATACTAAATAGCAAGTAATTGTGAAGGGCGAAATTAACCCTAAGCGAATATGGTTTTTTATCGGCGAAAGGCGAACTTTTACTGGGCTACAATTTTCTCGGTGTATAGTGTGTTCCTTCGTAGATAACTTACATGACTGATTGACAAGTAATCCTACTATCTGTAACAAGAAAAAATATCCCTGGAAAGTTCAAGATTCTTAATTTTGTTTTCCTCAGTGGTAACATATCAGTCTTGTTAGTTGATTCCCTACTCTATTACCTTTCATAGGCCTTATGACTTTCTGGATAGATATGTCATGTTGACCAATACATCGCTAAAAGTCGACAGTTTATGGTCAAAGTTAACCATGACTTAAGACTTGTAAGCTGTGTCCTCGATCAGTGTTACATGTATTCCTCCATGGATTTGCTATAGAAATGATGACAACAGGTGGTACAAACATCTACCCGTTCAAGGCCCCTACCTTAAGCTCCTGATTTTGGAAGGATTTGTGATTGCTGCCACCTCGATTCTTACTGTTGTCTTTTCATATCTACTTTGAGCATTGATTTGGCTATATGCGTTGACGCCAGGTTCAGAGAATCGTCACTTTGTGTTTTTTTATTGTTATTTTTAGTTTAATTTCATACGGGTCCATTAATATAAATCTGAACTCGTTTCATACTTATAATGAAATGGACACATGTGCTTACTTAATTAAATATGTTTTACATTTCTTTTTACAGAGGCTAGAGAATTGAATACTTATATAATAGTAAATTATCAAAACAGATACCAAACCGAACTTCCTGCTCTACAGACAAAGTTTGACGAAGCCGCGCTAGCATGCAAAACGCAAATCAACAAAACTATTCATACCTGTCTGGCCTGTATAGGAAGGTATGTACATATGAAACGTACTATTTAAGTCTTTCACTTACATAATGAATGGTGGACGTTTCCAACCCACTTTATGCGTAAACAGTATCTTATGGACATATATTAATGTGTTCGCTTTGTTAAAGTATCTGTAGTCGCATTCTGCATACGGTTATATAGTTCCTCCTGGTTTTACCCTTCGTTGCCTTCGAGTTTTAATTCCATCCTTATACACCATGGTATACGTTACTATCGACATATTTTATTTCTCTTTTTACAGGAACCCCAATTCTGGCCATTCACCAGACAGTTTTGGATATGATAAAGTGATTTTAGGTGTTATCCCAGCCGCTAGTGATTTGGACAATTTCGGAAATGGAGTTAAAGATACTTTGGAAAAGGATCCAACTTTTTTTACGGAAACAATTCCAGAAACAGTCGACAAAATTGGAAAAGAGATCGATATATTTGTCACAGGCACTATTCCAAAAACTGTCAAGAACATTGGCAAAGAGATTGATACTTTTTTCACTGGTAGACTACCAGCTACAACTGAAACTGTAGGAAAGCGTTTGGACAAATTCTTCACCAGTACAATACCGAATTTAGGGAAAACAATTGGTAAAGACTTCAAAAGATTTGGTAACGCCATTAAAGGTAATAATGCAATTCCGGATTATTTCTTTTGATTATTTTAATTTATCTTTTTAGTTAAAAAGTTAATGTTCTTAGAATGTTCCTTGTTTTTTATGAATAATTGTTTTTTGTCAAGTTCTGTGAATAATTGTAATATAAAATATAAAAATATTGGTCAGGATGCAAAATATTTTACGCTTCCGATTGATGAACATATAATTGAACTTTCAGAACACAGTGTGGTATTGTGTCATTTCATGAATAATTTATTAATTTGATAGAATAGAACAATATACTATAGAATATAAGCGTTCTCACTAATATGTAAATATGGTTAATATTGTTCTGTTATTTTTCAACAAATGTTCACGTATCTGCAGGTTTATTCGGACTCAGAAGGAGAAGAGCAACATCAGGGTGTCCTTCCTGCGACTTAATCGACACAGCAACGAAAACCGCGAAAGAAATTTGGAGGGATGGTAAGTATCCCAAAATTCATTATTGAATGCATGAAAACTAAATGATTGTGTTAGTATGATGCTATCGAAATTACCCTTTTCGAGGTCACAGTTTTGGTTAAGAATACATGTTTCCTTGCTTTGATATGCATCTAGTTTTGAAAAAAGCTAAACGAAAAGAAATGTGAATAAAATATGTTCTCAGTAACACCGAAACAGCAGTAACATGAAATGTTCTTGTTTTCTCTTCACAATCAGTCTGCGGCGATACCGTGTACAACATCTTTAAAAATAAATATACCAATATGGTAAACATATTCCAGTGGCTGAAGGATGGAAATATAATCGTTACCCAGGTAAGTGCATGGATAGGTACTGGCCGCTAATCGGTGGTTTTTCTCCGGGTACTCAGGCTTTCCTTTACCACCAGAACCTGGCACTTCTCTAAATGACCATAGCTGTTAAATGGACATAGGCAGAAACGAACCAAACAAGCACTGGCATAATTAAAATACAATTCAAAAGATAAAAGAAGAGCTACCAAGAAGTTTTTACATATCTGATAAATGTTGTATAATATGATGGAATAGACACTTTGATGTAGCCATATTTGGAATAAATTTACGAAATGTGATATATTTTTAAGAAGTTATGAATTACCCATTGCAGCTTTTTATGTAAAATGTTAATCACTAAATTTCGTGTAGTTTTCGATAAATACGAAAGCACAATAATTATCACATAACCATGCTTTTAAATTGAGGAAGGATTTCAGATACGGTGGCCGATATAACAGGCTACGTGAAAACATACATCCGATTTCGTTCACCTCGATAACTAGTATGATATGTTACCATTGGTTGCTATGTATGTGCTTGTTTCAGTGTAATGTGTCTTGGTAGTTATCACATATTGAACCGCAAACATATGGACCACCCAGCAAAATTCGCTTCCTTTTCAGAAAATAATTCCAAATTTAATTTAATTAGTGATGTTTTTTTTTCTAATACCGAACGATATATTATTCGCTAATTACCCAAGATGATGTTTAAAAAAAAAAATAATAATAATGTCTTAAAGTACTTTTAAAATCTATCAATAAAGTTTCAATAATAAAACTATTCATTTAAATAAAACCAACAAGATAAACCCTAAAATATTGTTATCGGTGCAATTTTCCTCCAAAATATAATCGAATACAATATTATTATTAAATAATATTTTTAATACAGGTGTCGTTTAGGACAGAAGATACAATAAGTATACCTTTGAAGAAAGTGTTTACTGTCACACCGTTCAATGTGACCTACAGTATCGGAGCTGGTGATCAGTCAAGGGTTTATACCGACACCAGCACAACACTTGACCTACATGGCAACACCAACTCCCTATTTGGCCATTTTCTTGCTGAGAAAATCTGGGATGAGTACGTATTTGAATACTAAATGTCATAAACGACTAACACTTTGTCGAATACCAGATTGGATTTTCTTTTGATGTTTTTTTGTATTCGTTTCATCTCACTAATAAACATTTCTATAATGTTACTGATTGTTTATCATTTCAAACTCTCTAATATTTGACTGTCTTAGTATGTTCATAACGTTGAGATTACAAGTTCGTCTGGTAAATTATACGATCCCATCTCACTACTACAATAACTCGACAGTATATTTTTCATGACAAAAATAGCTTTTACCGTTATGATTTAATACTATCTTGTAATTCTTCTGCTGAGGATTGTGATCACTTCTTCCTCCATTGTACTTTGTATACTAATCAAAGGCAAACTCTATTGAACTCCATTTCTACTCTTAATGACACTATTCCATTAAATACTCATATCTTTCCTTTTTGGATGTGCAATACTCGATATCAATATTAATACACGCATTCCGGAGAAGGTTCAGAGGTTCATTAACTAGATTACACTTATTTATATATCAATCATCACCTGACTTTGCTGTTTGGAAGGATACCAGCACAGAATTGTACGTTTAGTATGGGATGTCCATTTAGCTGATGTTTGTGTGATCTAGTTTCTGTATCAACAATCTCCAAATCAAATATGCAAAAAGCTATTTATATACAAATTGTCATCACTACAGATGTGTGTAACTGTGTATTTATATAAGGAGAGGGCGCTCATAGGCATTGTTTGTTGCCAAACTCCTTTGTATCTAAAATCTGAACAATAAATATTCTGAAATGAAAAATACTATCTTTGTGTGTAATTGACTTAATGATTTAAGTTGAGGGATTTTATTTCGTAATAAAATTCTGAAGAAGGTGGAGCCTAGAGTGGGATTTTAAAATTTCTATTCATAAGACTAACAAAGTTGAACACAAACATCGTGTTTGCACTGTTGAACCTGTTTTTGCGATCAGTCTTTAAACTGTCATCGGTATTAATTTCTTAGGGTCAAATATAGCGATGTTGCATTTATACCAATTTGAGGTACGAAGTTGCGTTACACAGCTTGTTACACAGCTTAGATATCACAGATTGTGTTAAGACTAAGAAATTAACACGCATAAAACAGCTACGAAATATAGGTACAATTGAGTCTCGCTATAGTTTCTTTTTTGAATGGGTAAACTAGTAAGCCATCCAAAATTTATGAAGCATATAATTATCATTTTATGCACAATCAAGGGAAAAAAATATCCATTATCTTTCCAGGTCCAAATGACAATAGATTTGCGTTTTAAATGCAAGGAATTGAAATGGTGAACGCGTTTCATTTCACCTAGGATTAATTTTGTTTGTTTTTATTATAGAATGAGTCGTTTAGTAAAACATATATCACATAAAGATAGTATTCTGACCTCGGACAAAACACATATCATGATATTAAATATACGAGACCTAACTACTTTGTGTATAAACATTCGTCTTTGTCCGACAGTTATACTGTTCTAGGAATCATTAATCTGTCCGAGGCCTGACGTCAGACCGCGTTGACCGCTGTCCATTATATTTGCTGACCAGTGTGTTGTGCACCATCTTTTATATACAAAGCCTTGTTTACTTTCTTTGTATAATAAATATTTCACCATGAAGTTCAAAATTCAGATCGGTTATCTCAATGGAATAGATATTTCTTCTGTTAACAATTGCTGCTAAGCTTAATTGCGACAACAAAACAATACATATATTAAATTTGACAACATATCCTCCGATTGTCTGGTCACATTATAATGATAAACAAGTCTTAAGACAAATAAAGGCCACCCATGACGCTCCCAAATTTCCGACTGGTTAGCTTCATTTTACAGTGTTTTCTTATGTTATTAAAAGTAGCATGATACTGACTTATTTTGTTATATATCATTAACGCAATTTCGCAAATTTAATTTATTTTATCACCCACCACTTTGTTACTTTTGCAAACAAACTATGCCGTATAAAGAAGCTAACTGTTGTTTATAATGATGGACAAGTTGACCACTTGACCAGTTGACCATTGATGTATTCTACGATCCGTCGTGTGTGACGAAGGTCTTGTTTGTTCCAAATGTCCCGAGAACTACTATCCCCTTAGGGTTTTTATGATATCCCATTGGGCTATATAAAGATTTTTCCAGTGGTAAGAAGTTATACTTAAGAACAGTATTGCTGAGGTCACGCCGAACAGAAGGTAAGTGTCCGGGGCTACCTTTGTTTCTAAATGGTAGCCTTTTTTTGGTATAAATATGTATATAAGTTTGTTTATTGTATGTTTAAATTCTTCTGATGTATATACCATACAATTTTGAAAATAAGCCGCCACTTATTATCACTTTCAGTAAGGAATCACGAGCATATTTTCAAGGTCGGCTGATTTTCCAGGCATTGTTGTACATATTTTTGGTTATTTTTACCCTTTATCAACTTATTGCAATAATAAATAACGTTATATGATGGTGAGCTGAAAAACCTTCAGACCGACAGAGAAAATGTGGCTCATATATCTGGAAACCATGGCATGTTTTCAAGAACGTCCTGATATCAAAGACGGCTAATTTCCGAGATATGTTTAACTGCATTAAAGTCGGGCCCACTTTCAAGTCAAGCCTATTTTCAAATCAGGCTTATAATGGAGATTTACAGTATATTGTCTTGATGAGAAGCTAGATTATGAAATACTTGGTATTTAAAAATGAGAGAAAAACTTGACATGCTACTAGTATTCAGAATTAGTTCATTCGAAATATTTTTGACTCATTTGATATATTTACATTAAAATATGTAAATTGTGTGTATCTTTGTCGTAGGATTGAAAATATTCGAAATCAAAACCTTTTTTTTATTAATATCCCAATATAGATGACAGTGGAATGCATTCTTTTTCAGAATCAGAACATGTCTCGTTTCACGACATGAGAGAAACATGCATACTGTTTTCTTTTCATTTGCGAAAACGCCGGTTTTTCGTTCGTCTTGAAAACTATAATTTACAGAGGCGATTCCAAATCTTTTGTAACTTTTCTTTATTCCATGTGTTTCAGATTTAAATAATGATCTTGATGAAGATGTATCTGAGTGTCTGTTTCGTCGTGTTTGGTTATATACATGGATTGCTGGCAGCTACACCAGTGGATGTGAACGCTAGAACTCTACAGGGTTAGTGATCATATGTTGTAATCATATAAAGATTAAATGATAGTTTTTCGATTTCATGCTGATATGAACGCAAATCGGTCACATGTATATGCCATGAAGCCAGCTCGGTAAACCACTTGTCTTTATGCAACTTGAACATCTACTAACTCGAATGAGATAAACACGATAACCAACCCCCCTTTTGTTGGGGACCTTCTATTTACTAACCTAGTATCAATGATAATAACGCGGTTTATGTTATTGGCAGAACATTGACGTCACCATTAATTACGTTTGGTTTACATGTGATGAGAGAAAAAAGTACAAAAAGGATAAATAAATACGTCATTTGTTTGGGTAGTAGTTATATATTTTAGTTGTATTATTGTTGAAATATACTAGAAAATATGTGTTAACCTATTAAAATGTAATTTGGTATTTTTTCTTTTAGATATTGATAACGAAGTAAGAGGGTTACTCATACTGAAAATCCTAAACAATGTAAATGTCACTCTTGCCAGACAACAGGACCTGATTCTGGATTGTGAAACAAAAATTAATCAAACCATTGTCAACTGCGAGACATGTGTTGCAAGGTAAGAGACGAAGTGTGTTTGTTTGTTTGTTTGTTTGTTTGTGGTTTAACGTCCTTGCAACAGCCGGGGTCAAATGAGGACGGGCTCCTAGGGAGATACTTCTGAAAAAGCAAAAGTAGATACGAAAGACAGAAAGTAGAGAGAGAAAAGGAGACAGAAAACGATAAAGAACTTTGATGTTTTTCAAGAATCTATGAAAATAACAAACCTGTGTACAGTATTACTCTCCGCATTGGATTGTTACATTTCTTTTTGACAAAGTATTGAAATTAAATCAATTAATATTGATTATTGTTTCCCTAGCATAGACAAATAGTTAGCAGAATATAATGCTTATGAAGGGAAGAACAATGTATCTTATATCATATATATATATATATATATATTGTTTATTGTCAAATTGAATAACATTATAAAAGTCGTTATAATAGTCAAGTTTTTAATATTTTAACGCAACCAAAACGCTATCATAGACGGAGATATATTATACTGACTTGTGTGGTACTGTGGGTTTTCTAGTAATCCTGGAGCTACAGCACCGTCAGGCAATGTGCTCAGCAGCATCGTCTCCGAACTCAACAAACCTGTCGTTGCCATGGAGAGTTTTTTCAATGGAGCAAGTCAAGACATAGCGAATCTTGGTGGCATCATGGGTAGCAAAAGTCAGCAATTTGCAAAAATCACTACATCTACATTGAAAAGTATCGGAAGTTTCTTGGGCAATGAAGCCGAAAAAGCTGTGTCTGAAGTTAAGAAGGCATTGAGCACAGCTGGACAAAAATTCACCGATCTTGGTGCAGCCATTACGGACGCAATAGGTACTTCCGGTGGATTTGTTAACGGTGTTACCAAATTTGGAACGGCAACTATTTCCAAACTTAATAACCTCCCTGATCTGATTTCAACTGGCGCAACCTCCGCTCTGAGTGGTCTAAGGAATGTCATGTCGTCACTTCCGGATGTCGGTACTCAAATTGTTGGTGGATTGTCTGACTTGGGGAATAGTATCGGAGGTAGGTATATACCACGTGAAAACTACTCAAATAAAACATGGAACAATAAAGATAAGACATTCTTTGATTATCCTGAAACGATCATTCTATCTTTTATTTATAAATAGCCCTTTCCAAACTCTGGACAAGGTAGCACTTTCCAATCTGTGGACATTAACCCACAATCTCAAATATAAGTATAGAACATATCATTATAGAAATAGCATGTAATGGGGTGAAATTAATACGGGGCGAATATGAATTTTACAAATGACGGACGAATATTTCACTGCACGAAAATTGGCAATGTTGTTTATAATTAGTATTGTTATTATTGTTGGTATTGTGGTTTATTTCAGGTCTGTTTTCTGGTAGACGTAGACGATCTACCTCCCTTTTGAACAGAATGAGGCGACAGGCAAGCGTATGTCCGGTGTGTGATCAAATTGACATCACCACCAAGACTGAGGCAGAAATATTCCAGTCAGGTACGCTTCGACCTATATTTTAGGATTCCCGTAGTTAACAACACAATATTTTAAAGAATGTATGTATAAAATAATTGTCACCTCAGTGCGCTATGTAAGCAGTAAAAGCACGCCAGTAAATGATAACCGTAAAATGTTCTCTACAAAACTTGCTTAAATACACAAAGCATGATGCAAACATACAAAAAACAACATGAAACTAAATTGCACACGTACACAAAACACGACCCATTTACAAAAATCACGACACAAATTAGTACACACACTCAAAACACGATACAAACAAGTACACGTACACAAAACACGACACAAACTAGTGTCATGCACAAACCACGACAACTAGTGCATCTACAAAAAAACATAACACAAACCATACACAAAACACGACACAAACTAGTAACCATACTCAAAACACGACACAAACCAGTGTACATACACAAAACACGACAGAATCACGATCACAAACACAAAACACGACCCAAACTAGTAGACATACAAAAAACACGACACAAACTAGTATCATACCCAAAACACGACACAAACTAGTATCATACATAAAACACGACACAAACTAGTAGACATACAAAAAACACGACACAAACTGGTACACATACAAAATAACATCACACAAACCATACACAAAACACGACGCAAACTAGTACACATACATAAAACCCGACACAAACTAGTATCATACACAAAACGCGACACAAACTAGTATCATACACAAAAAACGATACAAACTAGTACACATACAAAAAACACGACACAAACTAGTACACATACAAAAAACACGACACAAACTACCATCATACACAAAACACGATACAAACTAGTAGACATACAAAAAACGCGACACAAACAAGTATCAGACACAAAACACGACACAAACAACTAGTATCATACACAAAACACGACACAACCTAGTATCATACACACAACACGACACAAACTAATATCATACACAAAACACGACACAAACTAGCACACATACAAAAAACACGACACAAACTAGTACACATACAAAATAACATCACACAAACCATACACAAAACACGACGCAAACTAGTACACATACATAAAACACGACACAAACTAGTAGACATACAAAAAACACGACACAAACTAGTATCATACACCAAACACGATACAAACTAGTATCATACACAAAACACGAAACAAACTAGTATCATACACACAACACGACACAAAATAGTATCATACACACAACACGACACAAAATAGTATCATACACAAAACAAGACACAAACTAGTATCATACACAAAACGACAATTAGTTCACCTAAAAAATACCACAACACAAACAAACACCCATACACAAAACACGACACAAACTAGTAACCATACTCAAACCACGACACAAACTAGTGTACATACACAAAACACAACAGAATCACGATCACATACACAAAACACGACACAAACTAGGATCATACACAAAACACGACACAAACTATTAACCATACTCAAAACACGACACAAACCAGTGTACATACACAAAACACGACAGAATCACGATCACAACCACAAAACACGACCCAAACTAGTAGACATACAAAAAACACGACACAAACTGGTACACATACAAAATAACATCACACAAACCATACACAAAACACGACGCAAACTAGTACACATACATAAAACACGACACAAACTAGTAGACATACACAAAACACGACACAAACTAGTACACATACAAAAAACACGACACAAACTAGTATCATACCCAAAACACGACACAAACTAGTATCATACACAATACAAACAAGTACACGTACACAAAACACGACACAAACTAGGGTCATGCACAAACCACGACAACTAGTGCATCTACAAAATAACATAACACAAACCATACACAAAACACGACACAAACTAGTACACATGCATAAAACACGACACAAACTAGTATTATACACAAAACACGACACAAACTAGTACACATGCATAAAACACGACACAAACTAGTATCATCCACAAAACACGACACAAACTAGTATCAGACCCAAAACACGACACAAACTAGTATCATACACAAAAAACGATACAAACTAGTACACATACAAAAAACACGACACAAACTAGTACACATACAAAAAACACGACACAAACTAGTATCATACACAAAACACGATACAAACTAGTAGACATACAAAAAACACGACACAAACTAGTATCAGACACAAAACACGACACAAACTAGTATCATACACAAAACACGATACAAACTAGTACACATACAAAAAACACGACACAAACTAGTATCATACACAAAACACGGCACAAACTACTATCATACACACAACACGACACAAACTAGTATCATACACACAACACGACACAAACTAGTATCATACACAAAACACGACACAAGCTAGTATCATACACACAACACGACACAAACTAGTACGACACTATCATGTACACATACACAAAACACGAAGCAAACACATTCATGAGAACACATTTCACACACACATCGCACCTGTTTAACAGTCGGCCTCGGAAGTTTTTTTTTAAATTTTCCTGTTGTTTTCATGTAATTCTTGTTTCTTATTACTACTAATGATGCCGAATGCTAGTTTTATGCAGTGATATAACATTCGCATTTGAGACTTCTTAAATGACTTTTTTTATATTTCGTTTCAATTCCCTTCACAGTTTGTGGGGCTACATTCACCACGCAGCAACAACAGATAGTTGACGACCTTGCCAGGATGTCCAAATTGTATGAGTGGTCAAAGGTCTTGACCAACCCTATAATCACTAAGGTCAGTACTGAAATTCTTCTTGTTCATTCTGTCGTTCATGCAAATCCTTCAGGACTCGCAAAAACTTTCTACAAATATAACATAAAACGATCATAAGGAAATTACATCCATTAAATCATTGTTGTTTGATTTGATAAGGTATATTGTGACCGTAACAGATTAAGTGCGCTTTGTGACGTTTTCATTGGCCAAAGTATGGATTGATGAATATGTCATAGAAGAAACAATTTGGTGTCGTTATCGTGTTGTTGTGAAATATCATTTCACCTGACACTGTTATACGAATTACGATATTAACAAATATTCATTTTTTTTAAAAATTTCAGATATCATACGACAATGATAAGCTGGATTACTCAAGAATTTCTGAACAGATTCTGACTGCGTCCCCACTAACCGTGACATTTACCATAGGAACAGCCACACAGACCTACCAGTCCAATACCACACTCAACATCTTTGATCCTTCCCAGGTAGCATCCCAAATCGCCGGGCAAATTTACGTCAAGGCANTATAAAATCCTATAAATTCTAACTTGTATTTTCAACTTTTGTTATGACCACTTTTGAATACCTTATCTTTATTTACATTTAATACCTCACAATATGTCACAGTCAGTTGCCAGTGACAACTCATGTTATCACCATGGTTATAACAATGCTATAAATATGATATAAACAGTTTATGTATATTTGTATTATTATTAGAGTGTGAGATGTGTAATTGTGGTCGCTCGTTTCTTATTTCATATATAGGCTTATTAAGCAGAGACCATGACAAACAAATGAGCACTGTATATGGTTGTAATCTCGTGTGATGAGTTAACTAAGTCATACATAATTCATGCTAATGAATTACGTACAATGTCATAAGTTATGTCCCTTGCTGCATTGTGTATAAAGTTATTAGAAATCTCATTGATAATGTGTGTACTAATGTGTGATCTACCATTGATGTAGATTGTACAATGCCATACATGGTCCACCATTGGTGCATTGTGAAGTATGTCATACATGGTCCAACATTGATGTCGAGTGTACTATTACATACATGGTCCACCATTGATGTAGAGTGTACAATGTCATAAGTAATCCACCAGTTATGTATTGTGTTCTTTGTCATACGTGAACCACTACTATATAATAATGTTGATGAATTATGTACTTTGTCAAAAAAAATCTTAGTATGCCTGTTTTCCTAGTTTATATGTGATATTTGAACCTTATGCAATAAAATTTAACAAATATTTCGCCGAACCTATTTTCGTTTTTGAATAAAAACCTTAATCATGTGAAAACAAATCATCACAAACGGATCATTAGGTGTTTGGAGGAGGATCTACACTCTACTTTCACCCAACAATTAACTTCAATGCCCTGAGGACTACAGATGTTTCATAGTAAATTCGGTCGAGACCTGTTTATATGGTTTAAATAACCCCGAAACAAACCATGTAGAACCTGGATATAACACTTGTATTAAGTCTCCAAAGGAGAGTCAAGACCCCGGGGCTAATCCAAGTAGTATGATATTGCTCATACCCGTTCATGTTCAGCCAACATTTATATGTTTATAGCGCGGGATCCTAATCATTTAGAGCCTTCATATGACACTTGGATTATAGTTCCAAGGTTGAATCAAGACCCCAGACGTAATCCAAGTAGTATGATATTGCTCATATCTGTGTTTCAACCTGGACAACTTAAATGACAATCTAAGGTGTATGCTTGGGTCATTGTTCAGTGTCCAGGTAGCGGTGTGACCATTCAAGGTGCGTGTTTGGATCGGGACCACTCAAGGTGTTCAGGTGGCGGTGTGGCCATCCATGGTGAGTATTTGGGTCGGGATCTTTGAATGTGTTCAGGTGGCGGTGTGGCAATTCAAGGTGTGTGTTTCGGTTGGGACCACTCAAGGTGTTCAAGTAGCGTAGTGGTCATTTCAGGTGTGTGTTTGGGTGGGGATCACTCAAGGTGTTCAGGTGGCGATGTGGTCAGTTAAGGTGTGTATTTGGGTCGGGATCACTCAAAGTATTCAGCTCGCGGTGTGTGTGGTCATTTCAGGTGTGTGTTTGTGTAGGGATCAATAAAGGTGTTCAGGTGGCGATGTGGTCCGTCAAGGTGTATGTTTAAGAGTACCGCACTGAATGTAACACTTTGGATACATTCGGTCAACGTTATCATCATTAAGGTTATTATATTAATTCGTGGTGTTCTATTTTATTACATGATACATATATAAGGATTTGTGATACCTCTATCAAACGCCGTGTCCTTGTCCGTCGTCCATTCGTCAGTTTTTCTTTTTCGGCCTAGTTAAGAGTGGATTTTAACTAAATATGGTTTTGGACATTGCTAAGCTATGGTATACTGATATAAATTACTGAAAACTGTTTGTAAAATTTGTACCGCAGTTGTGGTATCTCTAATCATTTATTATTAACTTGGGTGTACCCTCTTAAGATTATTTTCCCTCATAAACAGGTTTCGGCTACCAACCTTTGTCCGTCATGTCATAAATTTTACATGAAATAAAATAAATACTTGTCTAAAGAGCCTAAAAGACTAAAATGCGCGGAAATGTAATTTTCGAACTTTAATTCTATCCTTCATTTATTCAGTTGTCCAATCATATTGCCTACACTTATTCGGTTGTCCCACTATATTGTAGCCGACACCTATTCTGTTGTCTCACTATATAACCAACAGTAGTGTATTTATCCTACTATACATCCACCGCTTATTCGTTTGTGTACCATCTTGTCACCATAAATCCCAGTGTTCAGCAAGATTTTTTTGCCACATCTTCTATTTAAAAATGTCCCGGTGGTCCACTAGATTCTCAACACATCCTCTTAAATTGTAGAAAAATGTGGTTGCATCTGCAAAGCTAGATGGCTTTTTCTTTGCAGTTTAAGCCAAAAGAGGAAGCCCTTTTGGTGTCTGAATGTTTCCGGAGGCCTTCACTTAGATTGAAGAATTTTAATGATCATTTGGACCTTATAAAGACTACAAGACATCAGTGTTTACCAGGATTGTGTGCTTGTTCACTGTTTCTTTCTTTCTGATGGATAACCTTTATTCTATTCTGGATCCGGAAATAGGATTCTGATGTGAAAATGCTACAAGACATCAGTGTCTGCCAGGGTTGTATGCTTGATCATTGTGTCTTTCTTTCTGATAGATAACCTTTATTCTATTCCGGATCCGGAAATAGGATTCTGATATGAAAATGCTACAAGATTTCAGTGTCTGTTAGGGTTGTGTGTTTTTTCACCGTGTCTTCTTTCTGATAGATAACCTTTATTCTATTCCGAATCCGGAAATAGGATTCTGATGTGAAAATGCTACAAGGTATCACGTGTCTGCCAGGGTTGTGTGCTTGTTCACCGTGTCTTTCTCCTCGTTGATAACCTTTATTCTATTCGGATCCGAGGCTAGGAATCTGGTGAATCAATGCTACAAGACAACACGTGTCTGCCAGGGTTGTGTGCTTGTTCACCGTGTCTTTCTTCTCGTTGATAACCTTTATTCTATTCCATATTCGAAGTTGGTAATTTGGTGAGAATATACCTACCGTTCCGGAACATTTAATTCTGCGCCGGTATATTTTAATTAAGAATTCATTGACAACTTCTTCGTGACATAATGGCACGGATTTTATCAGTATCTATCTAAGGTTTATATATTTCATTTGATGCAGAAATCTGCAAACCAATCAATAATGGAATCGGAAACTATCATTTATTACTCCTGCCCAGTATACGAGTCAACAATCAGGTTTATTCGAGGTTTCACTGCTGTTTTTGTTTCTATCAGAATTTAATGTATTTCATCCAGGCTTAGAATTTATCTTGAAAATTGATATGTTTTATGAAAAGTTTCCGATGGCTATTTTTTTAACCGCCAACGAAGAAAAACTATCGAGTTACTGTGCAGTAGCTAACTTTTTCAGATGATTCTGTACGTTATATTTGCAAGCTGAACCTATCTGTTAATTTTGAAATGTCACGTGCATTAATGTGAAAACTGTTATGAAATAGAAAGTTGCTATCGATGTAGTGCAATATCAAAAACCTCAAATCATAAACGGATGCAACACTGCTAAATTCAATTCTGCGAAATAACAGCGGTAGATCTTTTTTTCGAGAAGATGTTTATTTTGCTTATCACAAAAGCATGTTCTATGCTGCGAGCAAAATAAAAGTTTATCTGTAATTGTGTAAACTAATGAATTTACATTATCGACCCTTAGATTTCAATCACGTTCCTAATTGACCCCCCTTTAAATATTTATCACGATCATAATGGATCACCTCTTAGACTTTTATCACGATCCTAAAGGATCCACCCTTAGATTTTTATTATGATACAAACGGATCCATCGTTAGATTTGTATCACGATCCCAATGGATCCTCTCTTAAAATTCTTATCACGATCATTAAGGATCCATCCTAAGGTTTTTATCACGATCCTAAAAGATCTACCCTTCGATTTTTATCAAAATCTCTAATGCCCCCCCCCCCCCCCCCCTCAGTTTTTATCACGATATTAACGGATCCACCCTTATATTGTTATCACGATACTAATGGATCCACCCTTATATTGTTATCATTATACAAACGGATCCATCTTTAGATTGTTATCACGATACTAACGGACCTTTAGATTGATATCACGATACTAATGGATCCACCCTTAGATTGTTATAACTATACTAACGGATCCACCCTTAGCTTATTATCACGATATTGACGGATCCACTCTTAGATTGTTATCACGATACTAACGGGTCCATCCCTAGATTATTATCACGATACTAACGGGTCCACCCTAAGATTGTTATCACGATACTAACAGGTCCATACTTAGATTGTTTTCACGATACTTACGGGACCATATTTAGATCGTTATTATTATAATGACGGATCCACCCTAAGTTTGGTATCATGGTACTAACGGGTCCATACTTAGATTGTTATCACGATATTAACTGGTTCATACTTACATTGTTATCATTATACTAACGGATCCACCCTTAGATTGTTATCATTATACTTACGGATCCACCCTTAGACTGTTATCATTATACTAACGGGTCCACCCTTAGATTGTTATCACGATACTAACGTATCCACCCTTAGATTGTTATAACGATACTAACGGGTCCACCCTTAGATCGTTATCGCGATGTTAACGGGTCCACCCTTAGATTGTTATCACGGTACTAACGGGTCTACCCTTATATTGTTTTCGCGATGTTAACGGGTCCATACTTAGATTGTTATCATTATACTAACGGGTCTACCATTCGATTGTTATCACGATACTAACGGGTTAGTACTTAGATCGGTATCACGATACTAACTGATCTAATCTAAGACTGTTATCACTATAATAACGGATCCACCATTATATTGCTATCACGATACTTACGGGTGCATACTTTGATCATTATCACGATGCTAACGGATACACCATAAGATTGTTATCATGTTACTAACGGGTCCGTACTTAGGTTTTTATCACAATACTGATGGATCCATCCTTAGATATTTATCACGATCCTAATGGATCCACCCTCAGGTTTTTTTAACCCCGATATTAACGGATCCACCCTTAGATTGTTATCACGATACAAACGGATCCATTCTTAGATTTTTATCATTATACTAATGGATCCATCTTTAGATTGTTATCACGATACTAACGTATCCTCCCTTAGATTGTTATCACGATACAAACGGATCCATTCTTAGATTGTTATCATTATACTAATGGATCCATCTTTAGATTGTTATCACGATACTAACGGATCCACCCTTAGATTGATATCATTATACTAACGTATCCACCCTTAGATTGTTATCATTATACTAACGGATCCACCCTTAGATTGTTATCATTATACTAACGGATCCACCCTTAGATTGTTATCACGATACTAACGTATCCACCTTTAGATTGATATCATTATACTAACGTATCCACCCTTAGATTGTTATCATTATACTAACGGATCCACCCTTAGATTGTTATCACGATACTAACGTATCCACCTTTAGATTGTTATCATTATACTAACGGATCCACCCTTAGATTGTTATTACGATACAAACGGATTCATTCTTAGATTGTTATCATTATACTAATGGATCCATCTTTAGATTGTTATCACGATACTAACGGATCCACCCTTAGATTGATATCATTATACTAACGGATCCACCCTTAGATTGTTATCACGATACAAACGGATCCATTCTTAGATTGTTATCATTATTCTAATGGATCCACCCTTAGATTGTTATCATTATACTAACGGATCCACCCTTAGATTGTTATCATTATACTAACGTATCCACCCTTAGATTGTTATCATTATACTAACGGATCCACCCTTAGATTGTTATCATTATACTAACGGATCCACCCTTAGATTGTTATTACGATACAAACGGATCCATTCTTAGATTGTCATCATTATACTAATGGATCCATCTTTAGATTGTTATCACGATACTAACGTATCCACCTTTAGATTGTTATCATTATACTAACGGATCCACCCTTAGATTGTTATCACGATACAAACGGATCCATTCTTAGATTGTTATCATTATTCTAATGGATCCACCCTTAGATTGTTATCATTATACTAACGGATCCACCCTTAGATTGTTATCATTATACTAACGGATCCACCCTTAGATTGTTATCACGATACTAACGTATCCACCCTTAGATTGTTATCACGATACACACGGATCCATCTTTAGATTGATATCATGATACTAACGGATCCACCCTTAGATTTACATCACAAAATATAAGCCTCAACTGAGGTCATTACAACAAGGAGTATTTAAATAAATATTTCGATACTAGTTAAGTGTGGCACCTCAAAATGACACTGCCCATTAATCACTATAATGAATCGATACTTGATTAGTTAATAATGTCAACATTCTCTATATAACTGTGTAATCTAATATCAAATAACCCGACATGATAACTAACAAAACATGGCTTTGAAGAAATATTTATTGAGTTAGGTTAAAAAGAAAAATGTAAACAAAATGTATTAAGAAAATATAATATTGTAGTAATGAGAACAGTGAGAGGTGAGAGTACAACAAGGAAAAACTGTTGATTTGTTAACCGTTGATTACGCTGCAGCTCCAGGAACGTATTCCTTCCAGATTTTGTTAGCAAGGGCATCGCCAAATGCAGCATTGGTGTAGTCGTTGATGTCCAGTATTGCGTTGGTTTCTGTGTACTCATTTGAAGCAGCACCAGCTCCAATACTGTAGGTGACAGTGAACGGCTTCACAGTAAAAATTTTCTGTAGAGGTTTACTAGTTGTATCATCTGTATTGAACGACACCTGTAAAAAAAAAAACATAATTCAATGATAATAATTCAAATGCGTTTTATTATATTAATAGTATAACGTTATATTTGAGAGCAAACAGTTTTTTTTTATTATTATTATAATGATTATTTTAAGTTTTAAAAATATATTTTATTGATTTAGATTATTTTATAGAAACCGGTTTTCATTAATTAAGTCACATAATAAACAATTCGTTTGGTTTTTCCCTGTGTAACAAATCATAATTTTGTAACATATATACCCAATGTTAAAATAGAAAACTATGGTCATAAATTTTACACACAACGAAAATGTAAAAAAAAAACATTGAAACTAACACGCTTAAAACAGATATAGGGGAATAGTATTAAGTCATGATAGCAACAGCTACATTTTTTTTTTTTTAAAACAAAGTCCCATTCCGTTTATTAATTGTAACTAGTTCTAATTGAAACGAGGACATTTACATAAATACAAATGACGCATTGCAAAGAATTTACATTGCTGTTATACCCTTACAAGTTAAGTTGTAGCAAATTCAGACAAAGAGAAGGACAGTTGGCATCACCTTGGCGTACACCCATTACTTTGTCAATCATTTATAGACCACGACGGCCATGTTTGATGACGATCGGAAAAAAAGGAACGTGTTGCGCATATTTTCATATGTCTACGAATGCTTATCTAAAATTTCATTTGTATCAAGATAGTAGTTTCTGAAAAAAAATCTCTGGACGCTATTTTGCGGGAAAAATATAAGGAAAATGCAGAATAATAATCATAAGATGAAACGCAGCAAATTCGTTTTGGGGACTTAATAAAACGACAATATCAAGAGAAGCTGCAAGTTATTCTGATAATGCGAGTATGAATATTAATAACAAATATATTATTATATATATTATCAAATAAAAATATATAATAGAATGAACTTAAAACGATCGATCTCCGTTCACTTTTAATGAAAGAACGCACGTCTTTTGAATTTGCATTATAATTCTGATTATGGATTTACCTTGGTAACGATAGCGTTTTCATCTGCCAGCCACTGGAAGACGTTTGATGCATCGACGTATTCTTCAAAGATGTTGAATAATTCTTGTCCGCACACTGTTTTTGAAGGGTAAACAAACATCATTGAATGCTATTTTTACTTTGGACATGGTGTTACTTAGATAGACAATAGGAACTTATATTGTTTACGATATTTTCCTTGTTTTCATTGAATTATGGAACTCTTCTTTAAACGAAATACGTACTTAAGTTATATGATATATATTCTTCACCAAAACTTAACCTCGCATCAAAATAACAAAATCATTTGGTTTTCACAAATGAATTTTAGAATTATGTTTTCATATATTCGTAACAAATTGCATGCTATCATTTTAGCAACTACAGAATGTAATATATTATGTAAGTATCACTTATTGTGCTTTATCTGTAGGGTCATTGACAAAGAGAAGCTACGTATTTGTAAGTGGTATTGATGTTATCAGAAATACTAACCAGCCCTCCGGATCTCCTCTGCAGTTAACTTGTCGCTGTCAATTTTGTCGCAGGAAGGACAAACCGATGCTGCCCTTCTCCTTCTGCGTCCGAACAAATCTGCAGATACGTGAACATTTGTAGAAAATTAGCTCAATTCCATACAATTTATAAATAGCAAAACAAAACAAAAAAAACCCAGTGAGTATGGTTAATGAATTCAAGTATATATCACCCCTGAAGATGCATTTGACCTCTTCCAGTTCAAGCGTTGGAATAGTTCATTATGAAATTTCAAGGATGAAAGAGTAAATAGGTTATATATGACTCCTAAATTGTATCAACAGCACATGCCAGTTATATATAATACACACAAAGCTTCATATGACAGTTACTCCTTATATATAACACCTCGATATGGCATTTAAATGTTAATTATGAATATACAGTAGTCTAGACCAGTCTAGCCCTCTAGCATCACCAATGAATCATGGAAGGATGAAACAGATGTATGGTGCAGTGTCATTCATTTTGGCATTCTGTGTGTATTACTGAATTTTGAAGGTGCAATCACCTGTGTGTGTTTTTTTTTGTTTTTGTTTTAAATTTTTAGGTTCAAATATTTTATTCCCCCAGCCATTTTTTTTTCATAAATATGTATATACATATACTGCTTCCAAGCAGATATATATACATATATAAATATTTTGATAGGGGATGCCAGGGTTGGGCAGCCCTGGAGTAAGCCCCTGAACAATATGGTGTCCTCACACAGGAGGGTTCTCATTCAACATCCATCAGTCAAACAATAACTAAATAAATAGGAAGGGCAATGGGAAAATAAAATATTTGTAAACAGAGTACAGGACAAGAACACAAAACATACTTCTTTCACACCCCAACAAATTCCATATACAACATAATATTACAAGCAAGGATAAACATAGCACGTCTAGTATAAACAAAAAACATAATACACATACAAATACATCTACATATATACTCATACACACATACATGAGACAGACAGACAGACAGAGACAGACACACAGACAGACAGACAGACAACTACCCCGACAGGCAGACATACAGACATGCAGACAGACAGACAGACAGACAGACAGACAGACAGAACCAGACACACAGACAGACAGACAGAACATACATACATGTATACATTGAGACAGACTTACATACATTGAATCGGATGTATCATTATGCACGCATAATTTCGAGCAGTTAAGAAACAGTAATAAATACACTGTGCAAACTGTCAGATGTACATAATTATATATACACATGTGTATGAATATTTCTATGACACATGCATGCATTGATATGGACATATACTGACATAATTTTCGAATAGCATTTTATACCTGTGTGTGTGTGTTACGTTCGTCTTCTGAACAGCTTCATATGAAAGCTCAACTATTTGCATATGAACTTAATCACCTACACGTGACAGCTTAATAGTCTATGTAAGTAGCTACATTTCACTACTAGATATTAAAGATGGTGATATATGTCTGATGTATACATACAAAAACTAACAGATTAGCTCAATACTATGTATAACCCGTACAGTAGTATTTGTTTATTGTATTAAATGTATCAATAATATATTTCTATTGAATTTATGTTGGGTGTAATTGTGTTCTGGGAATTGAGTTACACTTTCTCTATTTCTGACCAATATTATTTTTTAACTTGTTAAGATACTAATTCTTCGTTGCACTCTTTTAAATATAACTATAAATTTACTATATTTTTATGAATATATAATTGGATAATTACCTTTCAAAGAGTTACCAAAACTTTTGAAGCCATTGCCGATTGTTTTGCCTACTTTCGGTATCGTGCCGGTGAAGAATGTGCCTAATTCCTTTCCTACATTTTTAGTAACTCCAGGTAATGTGCCGGTGAAGAAGGTACCAAACTCCTTGCCAATATTTTTGGCAGTGTTCGGAATCGTACCAGTGACAAATTTACCGACCTCTTTTCCGACGTTTTCGGCTGTCTTTGGAATGGTGCCTGTAATAAAATTTGGGATTTTCTTTGCGAAATTCAATCCTTTACCAAACTTGTCCAACCCAGTACGGAAGGGGGCTGGGATAATACCTAAAATAACTTGATCAAATCCGACACTTCCTGGTGAATGGCCAGAATTTTGGTTTCTGTAAGAATATAAATAAGAAATGTTGATACATAATACGCCTGAATATACCACAGAGTACAAAGATGGAATCATAGTTCAAAGGCAACACAACATAATAAGAAAGGAAAACTTTATGCTCTTATACACCAAACCCACTGCAAGTATTTAAACTATCGCAACACATTAGCATATTTATACAAAATATTATGTACCTAGGAAATGGATTAAAAATGTCCGTTGTTCCCTTTATTAGTGGATAGATACCTTTTAATACAGGCCAAACAGGTATCGATCGTTGTGTTGATTTTCAGTTCGCATTGTCGTGATGCGTCCTCAAGTTTTTTCTCCAGAGCAGGAAAATCGTCATTGTATCTCCGCTGAAAATTTATTACTACATAGTAATTGATTTCTGTGGCCTCTGTACAAAGAAAAAGAAAACAAATTGAGTATACCAAGCATGTGAAATGTTTTCGTTTGACACAAGTATGAAACAAGTTATGATTTAAATTGAGTAATGGGCATTTACCAAACTAATAAGAACACACAATGTATACCCCATTTATGTCATGCAGATAAGAAAACTGATTCTTCAACACTTTACAGGCGCATTCCCGCTGTTGTCTGGAAAAGATAAACCATTTTATAGCCTACCAAGGGAAAGACAGCGCACACGCACTGTTATTCTGAAAACGTCACCATCGCGTCATCATTTTATGCAACGCTACCATGATTCGTCATCAGTTTTGTCGCGCATATATAATTGCGCGGTACATAGGGTTAACGATTGCAACTTTTGTTTCACAGTAGCAAGTATGACAGAAAAATAACAAATCACTCCTGTGTTATGCAGACGGAGAAAACTCAACCATTTCATATTGTGTTTGATACATTGTTAACCCTTTCACCACTGTAGACCATAATCGACTCAACCAAATCAATGCATGGTATAGTTTACTGAAGTTACATAGGGATGAAAGGGTTAAATATAACTAAATTTGTAACCGTATACAAACTTGTCAAACTTTTTTGTCCTTGTGAGTCGATGCATTTTTACATAATTTATGTTATGTGTAACCGTATACAAACTTAGGCTTATTATACAGTTTGCTTGTTTTCAAAACTAGATGGGCTTGCTCAACATCAATGAAACGAAGAAATATGTTATCTTCTGAGCATCGACTCCGGAGCGATAAGTGTTCTGTAGCTGCAATTTATCCAGCTGTTTCACACGACAACGTGGCGAAGAAATACGCATATATTTACATGTTTGCTTAGTACACGTTTTACTTTGCTCACTACAAAATCATAGTTTTCACTAGGACTTTTTCTGCCGAAGCCTGAAGACATCCTTAAATCAATGAACACAGTCAGCTAAAAACAATTTTCGTTGCCTTGTAACTCAATAGTTAAAAAGAATAGAAAATAAAAGTTATTAACCGTACAACTAAAACTGAAAAGTACACGAACAATGATTAACAACTTCTATTATCAACATGCATTTATAAGTAAAAAGATATCATAAATATATTAATATCAACAAGTTGAAAAATCAATTAAAGGGAGGAAACATTTTTGATAATTAATTATACGTTAATTATAGATACTTGAATTAAACAGCAAGATATGTTGGTATAGGGAAAGTATGTTCGAAATGTCACTCTTTGAATACTGTGATCACAGTCCCCGTTTGAAACACATACCGAACATTCCAGGCAGATAATATTTATTTGACGAATGTTTGTTCGTATATTTAAATAAGATATAGAATTCAGTAACTGTTTTTTCGTTTCCATTTTTAGATTGCCCGCATATTAATTACAGTCCCTGCTGATTTCAAATGGTGTAATATTGCGGTTGTATTTTAATGGCTCCGAAACCGATGTCGAGAGAACATTGAAACAGGAATTATCAGGCAAATGGAGGATCGCCATTTAAATAAATAAATAAATCGGGTATCTATTTTATGCAATGATAGTACGTTATTTTTGACATCATAATACATTTAAATGCAAGTCTTGCAATCAGAACATTAAAAAAGTATTGAATAAGAATTCTTGTCTAACGACTCCTGACTTTTACATATTTCTTCAGCTACAAAATAACTGGTTAAATTTTAATGTTGTGATAATTTCATTTGATAAGTAGCATAATCAAATATATAAAAAAAAAACTTACTATCATCACTATCATGGACGACTGCGGATGTCAACCCCAAGTTGAGCAGGACCAGGCACAAACAAGCTGACAGGATCATGGTTGAAGTATGTTGCCCTCTTTTAGGTCAGAATAGTTTTTCACAATGTACACCCCTCTTATATAGCGTTCACTCTGGAATAGGCTGGGCATTCCATTATCACAGCCTACGCAGATGATGTACAGATTCTAGGAATATGATCACGTGATCAACACAGAGGAGGAGTTCTAGGAAAAAAGCAAAACGCGTCCTGAACCTTATCAACACAAAATAACATGTTGATTGTTTTTCATGAAATAAGTTCAAAGGTACCAACCTGACCTAAAAAAACACCTGTGTGTAGTAATCACTGGACGTTAAAACCCCAAAGATGAACCAAATTATGCCATAAACAATCAAATTGTTATTGTTGCTAAAACTGATGATATGCGTGTCGGCACATTAAACCAGGAGATACGCGGCTAAAATTCACACACCATTAATTATACCTTCACGTGTGTCAGTGACGTGCTGTAACTAGAAATAACAAGGCTATGCTGTAATATGTAATATACATGTAATGCAGTTTACATTAAAACCGTAATACTTGGTACCTAATATTATTTGGTTTTCAATATATGTTATATATATAAATATATATATGGGTCTTATGAGTAATAACGACAGTATGATCCAATATTGGCACTGTATCCGAACTAACAAATGTTGGTTGGATGCTTATTACTTAAATAGATACATGGGCAAAGTAATAATAACGAGAGTGCAGACAAAGAAATTTGTCTGCACTCTCGTGATTACTTCTTTGCCCGTATATATATATATATATATATGAACACTAAACCAAGTAATATAGCTCACAATTTAAAGTTGTTTCGGTTATTACATTATAAATGTAATTACTCGATTTTGTATCATTATTGTTCCTGCTATTTCTACGAAATAATAAAATTAATTGTTGGGTTACTGTTTATCCGATGTGTGTTATCTTGTTTTTATTATATATATATTTAAGATACTATAAATATATACTATATATTTCTTTGTCTGCACTGTCGTTATTACTTCTATATAACAGTTTGCTCCAGAAAGTCACATGCTATGTTAATCATTTCTTAACTGAACACGAATTGTCGACGTATATAAGTTTTATGGTGAGCAGGCTGAGGACCTGTGTTTTCTTATACTTAACGTTTAATGAGAATAACTGTCCTTCTAATTTAGTTTCATTTGTAGCATTTTAATTCCAATGTAAGTATGCGATTTTTAAAACGCACATTTTTTAACCATAACAACGCTCATTTTTTAACCTAACTGCACGAGAAATGAAACCTGCTTGAGCAAAATGGCAAGCTTCATCATTTCCTATTGTTCAAAACGAAACCGCATATTCATTATCAATATTTCCATTTAAGGATCCAAGTAACACTGTAAAATTGTAATTAAGCATAAGACACTGCATTTCCAGCATGATCATATCTTTGATAAATCAGTTTAAAAAGATACCAATACGATATTTGAAGTTAACAATATAAAATCAACAACAGTGATCTGTGTGTAAAACAAATTCAGGGGAGACAGTCCAGGAGTCCCGCTTTGGACTTGAAATTGTTTTACTATCACTTCAATAGGCTGAGCTAGCCGGTCGATTGAATTGTCCTGGGACAACTGAGCTATAATTATGTCATAAACGGAACTAAGGGGATTAAATATTTACAAAAAATTACAGTAAAGTGAAACAGGGATCCATAAAGAAGAAGATGTTTTTATCGTTATGAAGTGTTAAAGGATTAGAGGCGTAAAGGGTCATTTCTGCTCTCACAGGGGATAAATGAAGTACGCAAAAATGAAACGACAAATGGTTTAGGAGATATGGCATTACAAAGAGAGACATAAATCCGCATTTTCATAATTAAATGCGTGAATATCGACTGTTGTGGGGTATTTATTTGAAAATTTGCAATTTTGAAGCAAATTAGTTAAACACTTTTTAATGTTTAAAAGCCTCCGCATGAACCAAACAAATACATATTTGACATTCTTAAATATTGTCATACAAGTTCATTTGTAGAAGGGAAGTTTTGTTTGTCACATTGGGAGGCTTTCATTTCTGCTTTCCAGTTGTCCAAAAACCTTATTTTGGCTATTTATATATAGCAACGCAATTTAGTTGATATGGCAGGCCATCTACGCATACGCATTGAAAAAATCTGCTCCAAGAAAGAAAGCCCTAATTTACCAATATGATGTTTATTACAGAAATTGTTAAATGCATTCAAGTTGAAATTTTTACTTTTCATGGGGCCAGAAATGACCCATAAAGTCCCAGGTCCTTTAGAAAATTGTATACATCATCATGCAAAGACTCCACAATCTTTTTTAAGTTATTCCATTTGGGACCTTGCCCTTCAGTCCCAAGGGAAGTTTCACTCTTCCTTTACATAACTATTTATTCCAGGGTATCTAAGATCAATGATGCTCATAAACAGTTGGTTTGAGATCCGTTGGCCCAATGATGATCAAGACAAAATTTTGATAAAAGCTTTTTACCAATAATTAATTAACATGGTTTTCAAGATTTATCTTTCTTTTCCCTATTAATCCCCTCCCTTTGTCGCTAGGAGGGTTACATCCTCCATTTATACAATATTAAGTCCATTTAGGCAAAGAATGATCCAGACTAGATTTGGAAAAAGTTATATATCCATACTGAAAAAAGTAGAATATTTAAATTAAACAGTTTTTCGCCTGTTGTGTTCCGCATCTATTACCAAAGCTGGTCCACAACCTCCTTTCGTGAACCATTGGAAACATTTTGCCCAATAATTCTCAGACCTTAGAAGATCCCTGTACCGGCACTAAAGGAGTAGCATTTTAAGTACTTTAGCTTTGGCATTTCGGCCACTCAAGGTGTGGAGGTGGCGATGTGGCCAATCCTTATGTGAGGGTGACATTGTGGCCACTCAATGTGTGGAGGTTGTGATGTGATCGTTTCAGTGGCGAGGGTGCATTGTGGCCACTCAAGGTGTGAAGGTGGCGATGTGGACATCCATTGTGTGTGGCTGGCATTGTTGCCACTCAAGGTTTGGGGGTGATGTAATCTCTCCAGTTGCGAGGGTGCATTCTGGCCACTGGATGAAAAGGTGGTGATGTGGCCACTCATTGTGTGAGGGTGGCGTTGTGGCCTCAAAAGGTTTGAGAGTGGATTTCAGGCCACAAGACTCACCCATTGAGTGGCCAAACGCAAATAACACACATTGAGTGATCAACCGACATATCCACATATGTTTTCCTAATAGCTTGAATGGACGCGATTGGCACTCACCACACACCTTGAATAACCACATCGACCCCTCGCTCGGACACCTTGCGTGGCAACTTTGACACCTCCTACACCATGAGTGGCCACATTCCCACCCAATACACTTTGAACAGCCAAACATGCAGCCTTCATCTTTACTTAGATAATACGGAAATATAAAACCAGAAATAAATACAAAAGAAGTACGTGTCGTTCATTACAGATGGCTGAACAGTATAGTGTGACCATATATGATTGTTCTAATATCTGTTAGAAGATTATATCTGTGATTTAATTATATGCTTCCCTGCAGATAGGGCGTAATAATTGTAACTGCTGCACCCATTGCATGATCGTAAGAGGCGACTAAATTTGGGATCTTATCTTTTTTCCTTCTTTCTAAACAACTTTCTTTTTCCTTATGTCTCCCTTGACAATGCCTCACTTTTGGCCTTTAGTTGAGCAATTTAGGAGTGGGATGACTGGTTCGCCCGTTGTCAGTATAGTGTGACCGGGTGGGGTGTCCTGCTGGGTGTCTTCGGTAGTATGTTTCAGTGAGGTAGCATTAGAAAGTCGGCATCATTTCCGCGCTATCACAAGGAGACAAACACGAACATATCGCAGCCTCCCAAAACACACACGCATACACTACACGCATGCACCTTGCACACAAGGGAGGCCGTCCTTAAATGACCATAGCTGTAAATAGGACGTTAAACAATACTAAACCAAACCAAACCAAATAATTATATGCTGAAATGCTTCATGGTTCAAATCAACGTAATTATAATATTGTGTATTATTTCTAAAGTTTTCTCGGACGATCCATGAGGCCAGTGCAGAATTTGAGCGGGGTGTCACCGCTCTCGTTAATTACCAAATATTTTATTAATTTGTCAATTATCTCTAAGCTTTGATCAAGTCAACATGATATATTTTACTAAGGCAAATATGTAAATAGATTTAAAAAACAACAGGTGCAACTGAAGTAAACATTAATTTATCCTGTCATGACTTAGGGTAAGAATGATAACGTGACAACAAAACCTCGGCTATTTGTTTGTGATCTATTAATGTGTCAAGGAACGTAATTAACTTGTCAATTGCATGACACGTGATTATAATATCAAATTGATTTTCTGTTTTAAAACTAGTAACAATTTGTATTTATTTAAGATATTTTATTTAATTCTCACCTTTCAAACATAAATGAAAGTTACACAAGTACATAGAGCACAAGAAAAAGAATCAACAGATAATATTTAAATTAATTACGATGGCCTGTTTAACATAATTATAAAGTACAAAATTGTTCATTATTGTTTATTTAATATATTACTTTTAATTAACAAATATTAGCGTACATGCTTAGTAATTATTATATATTAGAGAAAATACTTTGTAATTATCACGCATTGAAATACTTTCTTGGTTTTTATTGTATACATGTTATAATTAGAGATTATTATTTACAATACATACTCGGTAATTATCATATTGACAGTACATCCTTGGTGATTATCATATACAGTACGCACTTGGTAATTATCATTATTGTTTTTTCAGTACACACCTTATCATATCATATTTTTCAGTACATGCCTGATAATCATCATATTTCTCAGTACATGCCTGATAATATCATATTTCTCAGTACATGCCTGATAATCATCATATTTTTCAGTACATGCCTGAAAATCATCATATTCTTCAGTGAACACTTGATAATCATCATATTTATATAATAATATATAATATTTCTCAGTACATATTTTGTAATTATCATATTTTGTCAGTACATGATTGGTATCTATCATATTAATCAGTATATATTTACTAAACATCATATAGTAAACTTTCTCACATGTTTAAAGTTTGTAATAATATGTGTTAGAATATTTTGACAACATTTCCCTTATGGTAATATAACTGGACTACCAAACCACACATACACACACACAATTTACAGATATAAAAAATCATAAACATCTGAATAGAAACTGAGTATAGATTTACTTAACTCATCTTGGATATCCTGATATTGTCGATAAATTAATAAGCATGTGTTTCGTCCTCCACGAATTGGCGGTAACACATAATTGCACTTTCTGTCTTCAACATTTATCATCTCGTATTCTCCTATATCCAACTTTAATGGGCTCTCTCAGAACAAAAGCTTTGCTTTCTGTGATATGATATTAGACTTAAGTTAGAATAACTTTCGGTTTCATACCCCAGCTTAAACATTTTACATGTCCTCAATTTCTTACGCCTTTATCTACTAACAGAAGTATCTCAATCAATAATCCTCCAGCATCATAAAGGTGCTTGTACATTAGGTTATCACTTAAAAGCTTTACAAATCTAAATCCTGCTTTAGTATGTATTTAAAATCTGATCTTACGAAAATTCGTTCGAAACTTAAATATTGTCAGTTGTTGACGAGACACCTTGACAATAAAATGGAAGATGTTGTTAAATTACACTACGTAGAAAGTTAAATGACTTCTCTTGAGAAGTCATCGAGTATTTATGTAAAGCCACCAACATTATGTAAACATATGTTTACACTAGAAATAACGTTAAAAATGAAGGAGATATAAAGTAAAAGGAAATTAGATTTCCGATATTCATTCCTCTGTGGTACTCCTCCCGTACCGAACTCTCGTATCCCCTTATCTAAATACAATGATGTGCTTAAGAATGTGTCTGTGTTCCTTTCAGTAGAAATGTTGTCAATTAAATGTATGTTACCCCTAATACTAATACTATACCCGGCTATACACTAATTATTTAACGCTCAGATAATGTTAAATATCTAATATGCATTAAATTATGTAATAATATGAAAATAATCAGATAATCGAACATTGCATTCACGTCATTATATAAGATAAGTAAGCAGTTGGATATCAACTAAATTTAATTTTGCTTAACCATCATACCATATATGGTCTGAAAAGGCAGAATATAAATTTTATTGACATGACTAAGTTTAATTTGCTTGTATCGAATGAAAATCACATAGACGTTTTTGTGGCAAAAAAATGTCCATGTTTCTTTAGCCAGTTCCTCTCCTAAATCCTAATCCAATGACAATCAGATAGGCATGTTTGTGGTGAAGAATAAATTCCATATTTCCGTGGCAAGGTCTTCTCCTATATCCTGGTTGGAACTCAGCAGGTCCAGAGTCCTATTTATCTGTTGCGTTTTGGTGAAACCTCCAACGTTGTATGTTACCATAAAGGACGGTACTGTGACAACCCCTTTCCTAATTAAGCGTGTCACGTCCGCTCTATTGTACGTCACCTAGCGGTTAAATAGAAGTGATTATTTGTTACGTATATTCTCATATATTGACGTCATCTCACATTTTCATGGAAATATACTTTTGTTATGCATGTTTACAAATATGAAACCTAGCATTTACACATTTGCCATGTATTTTTTCAGGCACTTGATCAAGCGGTTACATTGAAATGCTTAACGCATTTGAATAATTCTTAGAAAACATTATGAATTGTAATGATTGATAGTGATATATAAACAATAAGGTTAGTTAGTCTCTTGTTTGTGGAACAAACATTAATGACTTTAAAGCAGAAAGTATCGTTTCTTGTATTAATAAAATCTTGGTTTTCTTAGCTGCATCAGTCGAACCGCCATAACCTGTTATTTATGTGGCCCATTGAATTAACGGAATATTTTTAAATGTATTGTCAATTGTTTACTATATACACAAACAATGTACGTATTAAACGTTTCAAGACCGACTGGTCAATTTGTTGGCTTAACAAAGGGACCAGTCGGTCATTGTACATTATTTGTATATAAAGTAAAACTTTGACATCATATATTCCCAAATGATAAATCTTATTTAGGTATTATTTCAGATGTATATATTGACTATATACGTCTAGTAAAAGTAGGAGCTGACAACCATGAAATTTGAATATAGGATATCCTGTACTACACAAAGAAATCCACGCGTGGCTGGTTAGCTTATAGCCAATATGAGTGTCGTTTTGAAACGTATCTTAACTAATGAGATTACTCACTTTTTATATCCGTTCAAACGTATTACAAAATTAACGCTTAAAGGAACCGAAAACTTACTTCGTGAATTATAATTTGTTTTGTTACATATGTTTAAATCTAATGAAAGGCACAAAGCTTCTTTGCCATTAATGAAGGGAACACATTGGCTGATCTCTATTATGAAATGTATCTATGAAATATTTCATAAAACCGGTTTTTGATATATAAATAATTTATTATTTGATTACATTTGGTTATGAACCTCTGACAGTAAGTCTTCTTATCTTATAATTAGTATTAGAGATTTTTTTACCAATACATTAGTATGAATTTTGATAAATTAATATAAATTCATGATTATGCTTTACTTACTTCTGTTATGATGGGTTTTCTATTTAGAAAGATCTGATTGCCTAGTTTTACCATCTTTTCAAACTGTTTGGCCGGATCAACTCCACACACTGAAATATAGATGAATATAAAAGGAGTCTGTAAAATATGTAACGTTTTTGGAAACGTTAAGCAAGCATGTGAAGGTTAGAAATCATGGTGGTCGGATTCGTTTCTCTTACGAGGAAAAAACACAATTTGTTTGGAAATATTCTTATTTCGAATTGCTTGTTTATTTATTGTAAAGCAAAGGGATATTTACGAAAGAAATATGTGAAAAATAAATAACCTTTCTTACAAAACACGTATCCACTACAGGGAATCGATCCGCGGACCTCTTGATTAAAATGAACGGAACGTATCCATTGTGCTACCGGCGAAAATATATTTTCGATATTTTTCCTGCAGCATTATGATCTTGGCAAGTAGTTCATTATGTTTTGACTCCCTAAAATGCCTTCAACCTATAATTTTCTTTGTATTTAACATAGAACAGAAAAAGTACTTTCAAATGCCTATTTACAATAGAAAAGTGGCGAAGTATCCACAGAAACGAAAATGATTAATCGCTCGCTGAGGAAAGGCAGTTTTGAACTTGACAATATCGTTATGGCGTGGTAATGTTATATGTGGCCAATGTGGTGAATAATTAAACTCTATAACACACTTTTCCTCGGAAATGACATGTTTTGTTGAATCAATTGAATAATGACTAAAACTAACATACTTATTACTTATAACAGAACGATTGTAAAACATTTAAAAAACGATGATGTAGTAATCTGTTTGCTTAATAAGAATACATAATGAGATTAAATACAACACACTAAAATGAAAATAAAATATGATATACGATGTTTATTACAAGAAAATAGGGATGAAATTTCTCATACTTCAATGATCTATACTAAAAACCACAGGTAATGACATTTATCTTGCAGTTTAACTTACTTATATTGAAGACAATGGTCTCATTCTTTGTGGTTACTGTGTAACTAGATTGACATCGACAACTTATGTTAATATAAGGATGTAGCGGTTAGTAGCTTTCCCATTCAGCATTGTAAGCTTTCCGTACAAATAAAAGATTGATTTACTTTTAACTGTTCATAATAAAATTAGTCTTAAAAGTAATTGAAAAATACTGAAAGGATGCTTCTAACACTGGTGTTTTAAAATAATATTAGATAAACTCCTAACAAGCTGTTAGCTGATATACAAGTAAAGCTTTCTGTAAAACCCACCAGCATGTTTGCGTTCCGTGACAGTCATGTTGTTGATTTCGTCACATGATATACACTGCGAAATCTGTCGTCTTCGTCTGCGGCCAAACACACCTACAAACACATAAAATGTCATAGCTCTACGCGGTGAATTGTAAACGGTGCTTCCTTGCATATCATATATCTTGATTATGTGTACATGTTTTATATTAACTTGCACATGTTAAACGGAACTAGGGTCTGGTTCCCAGTTCCGTTTATGTTAAACGGAACTAGGGTCTGGTTCCTAGTTCCGTTTACCTTAAACGGAACTAGGGTCTAGTTATTAGGAACTAGGAACTAGGAACCAACTTCAGGCTCCCCAACATTGGCGGGTCCGGGGATCTACACCAGGTCAATGTCAAACATCAAATCAACATGATTTTTAACTATTAGTCAAGACATACTTTTCTGACTAGACAAAAGGAACAATATACAAAACATTAAATAGCTAATTAATTGCATTTTCTAATAATAAATGATCATAAATGAAAGTAGTCAGCAAGACGCATCTTGAAAGGAAACTAAAGATCTTCTGAGTAATAGCTATACCCATGTTTATAAGAAAAGAAATAATTCAGCGAAGCGTACGAAATCATATGTCTTTTTATTCGGGTCAATCCCTAAACATTTATCAAAACGTAAATAATAACACAATAATACAGGAAAAATACAATAACCACCCACATATGGTAAATATTCGGCAACAACATTAGGCTTGTACTCGTAGTAGCGTGTGAATATATCCATTCGGTACATGCCAAAACTGTGTATTTTGAAAAATACATAATTGTTGATAATATAAGAAAACATAAGAAAAAATGTCTTTTTCCAATTTTTAATACAATTGCAAAATGCAATTTGCAGTTCGCTGAAGTAGCATAGAGTAGAATCCCAGTCACTATTTTGTCATTATTCGAAAAGGTACAACTATGATACTATCTTAACCTTTGATTATTGAGTGTTCATCCTAAATCCAAAACATTGAAACAATTCAATGTCAAACTTCGACAGCATTTAGGTGAATACTAACAATATCACCATCATAATTTGTTTTTGCCAAACATGATATTTATGCGCACCGCATGTATGCTGAATAAAATTACTATAGATATTAATTATGGATTATCTTTTTCACCACTGGTTCTTTTACTTACCAATGTGTATGAGCCACACGAAGCGTTTTCCTAATAACGAGTATAGCGAGTGAAAATATTTATAATGGCAAAATAGTGATTTTGTAGGCTTTTCTCGCTTCCATTTGTCGTAAGAAGTTTGATTTTTGACAAGGAGGAGTGCTATCTTAAATATTTGCCAAATTAAATTGTCCAAAATTGCGCTTTTACCTTTTGTTTGCTTACATGCAAAAAATAGCGATACTTCCAACGACCAGACTATGTTTTCCGTGCACTTTAATTTCATTTCGATGTTGTTTTTCTGCCATTTCATATGTTTCCAAAATTAATCAATCAGGAAAGAAAGTGATAACAATATGGAATATAAACGACTCATTATCATTAATTATAAGAGGTTAGAAAAAAAGCAAGGAGATTACCTGGAATCGTCTTCGTGATAAATGTCTCCAAATGGCCTCCAACACTTCTACCAGCCTTAGGGATAGTCTCAGTGAAAAATGTTTCAAGATAACTTCCAACATTCTTAGGTAAACGGAAAGTCTTCGTATCAAGGAAAGATTTAACATTGCTGCCGATTAACTTTGCAGTATCTGGGAGTAACTTGGAAACGAACGTATCAAGATGTTTTCCGAATCCTTTTGAAGCCTCAGGGAGTGTTTTAGTAACTACTTTTTCAAGAGGTTCTCCAACACGGACCTTTGGAAGTGTACTGCTAAAGAAGGTTTCCACATTTTTCCCAATCGCCTTTCCAACCTTTGGAAGCGTCTCTTTGAACAACGGTTCAATGTTACTATCTATTTTACTAAAAATATTTGGAACGACTTTACTAACAATGTTTGGAACGACTTTACTAACAATCTTTGGAACGGTTTTCCCAACCAGTTCTGTAAGCGGCGACTGCACTACATTTGTAAGAGCAATACCAGTACCCAGCAGATTTTGAGATTCTATCTCTGTAAGCAATTTGTCAATTTCGTCACTAGTTGTTATGTTAACATCACGGGTTGGAACGATTTTACTAACAATATTTGGAACGGTTTTCCCAACCAGTTTTGTAAGCGGCGACTGCACTACATTTGTAAGAGAAATACCAGTACCCAGCAGACTTTGAGATTCTATCTCTGTAAGCAATTGGTCAATTTCCTCACTAGTTGTTATGTTAACATCACTGGTATTTGTATGTTCAGTAACCGTGTTAATTAGTTGTGTAGTATCATTAATATCTTTTCGGTTAAAACCACTGGTATTTGTATGTTCAGTAACCGTGTTAATTAGTTGTGTAGTATCATTAATATCTTTTCGGTTAAAACCACTGGTATTTGTATGTTCAGTAACCGTGTTAATTAGTTGTGTAGTATCATTAATATCTTTTCGGTTAAAACCACTGGTATTTGTATGTTCAGTAACCGTGTTAATTAGTTGTGTAGTATCATTAATATCTTTTCGGTTAAAACCACTGGTATTTGTATGTTCAGTAACCGTGTTAATTAGTTGTGTAGTATCATTAATATCTTTTCGGTTAAAACCACTGGTATTTGTATGTTCAGTAACCGTGTTAATTAGTTGTGTAGTATCATTAATATCTTTTCGGTTAAAACCACTGGTATTTAGAATTACTAGGCCACTGTTCTTTGCTGTATTTTCAATAAGATTAACAACAGTTGATACCTTGATTAAACTGCTGCTTTCTATCTTGACTATATTCTCTTCTGCCAGTTCATTTCCACTCATGGCTAGTTCCCGACTACCAGGAGAAATCGGTACATTGTTCTTATCGTTGGTTTGTCTATCTGAAAGGTTATTACGGCTAAAAGGTAATATAATATTGATATTGTGAACTGGTCTGTTGTTACTACTCATGATTGGCCTGTTAATAATTCTTTGAAGCGTGTTTTCCCTCATTTTTGGAATGTTATGAGCACTGATTGTTTTAACGTTATTACTAGGGATTTTAGACATTTTAATATCCTTGACTGTTGGTATGTTATTATCACTGTAGGTGTGTATGTTATTATCACTGTAGGTCGGTATGTTATTATCACTAATGGTGTGTTTGTTATTACCACTGATGGTCGGTAGGCTATTACCACTGATGGTCGGTATGATATTACCACTGATGGTCGGTAGGCTATTACCACTGATGGTCGGTATGATATTACCACTGATTGTTGGTATGTTATCACCACTGACGGTTTGTATCTTATTTTCACTACCTGTTGGCTTGTTATCACCGCTTATGGGTGGTATTTTTGTATCATTGATGGTTGGTATGTTATTTGCACTGATAGTTGGTATGCCATTACCACTGATGGTTGATATGTCAATGCCACTGACGGTTGGTATGCTATCCCCTCCGATGGTTTGTATGGTACCACCAAAGGTAGTTGGTATGTTATCACGACTGGTTGGTGGTATGTCATCTCCACTGATGCTTGGTTTGTTATCACCAATGGTAGTTAGTATGTTTCCACCATTGGTTGTTGGTATGTTAACACCTCTGGTTGTTGGTATGTTATCTCCACTGATGCTTGGTATGTTATCACCAATGGTAGTTAATATGGTATCACCTCTGGTTGTTGGTATGTCATCTCCATTGATGCTTGGTTTGTTATCACCAATGGTAGTTAGTATGTTTTCACCATTGGTTGTTGATATGGTATCACCTCTGGTTGTTGGTATGCTATCTCCACTGATGCTTGGTATGTTATCACCAATGGTAGCTAGTATGTTTTCACCACTGGTTGTTGGTATGGTATCACCTCTGGTTGTTGGTATGCTATCTCCACTTCTGCTTGGTATGTTATCACCAATGGTAGTTAGTATGGTATCACCTCTGGTTGTTGGTATGCTATCTCCACTGATGCTTGGTATGTTATCACCAATGGTAGTTAGTATGGTATCACCTCTGGTTGTTGGTATGTCATCTCCACTGATGCTTGGTTTGTTATCACCAATGGTAGTTAGTATGTTTTCACCATTGGTTGTTGGTATGGTATCACCTCTGGTTGTTGGTATGCTATCTCCACTGATGCTTGGTATGTTATCACCAATGGTAGTTAGTATGTTATCACCAATGGTAGTTAGTATGGTATCACCTCTGGTTGTTGGTATGCTATCTCCACTGCTGCTTGGTATGTTATCACCAATGGTAGTTAGTATGTTTCCACCATTGGTTGTTGGTATTTTATCATCCCTGGAGGTTTGTTTGTTATCACCACTAATGGTTGGTATGTTATCACCAATTATTGGTGTTATAATATCACTACTGACCGTTGATATTCTATCGCTACTGACGGTTGGTATGTTATCACCACTAACGGTTATGTTATCCCGACTGATTGTTGGTATGTTATCACTACTGATGGTTGGTATATTATCACCACTGGTGATGGTTAGTTTATCACCCCTGACGGTCGGTTGGCTATTACCACTAATTGATGGTATGTTATCGCCAATGGTGGTTGGTATATTATCACCACTTATAGTTGGAATGTCATTTCCTCCGATGGCCGGCCTGTTATTTACGCTGATGGTTGGTTTGTTATCATTAGTGAGTGTTGGTGTGATATTACCAGTGATGGTTATCATGTTATTATCACGGATTGTTGTTAATGTGTTACGACTGCTGGTTGGTGTGATATTACCCTGTTTGGTAGGTATCTTTATGCTACTGTCGGCTGGTGTGGTTGATTTACCTATGGCTGGTAACGTACCACTGTGTTTGGTAGGCATCTTTATGCGTCTGTCGGCTGGTGTGGTTGATTTACCTGTAGTTGGTAACGCACTACCGTGTTTGGTAGGTATCTTAATGCTACTGTCGGCTGGTGTGGTTGATTTACCTGTAATTGGTATCGTACCACTGTGTTTGGTAGTTATCTTAATGCTCCTGTCGGCTGGTGTGGTTGATTTACCTGTAGTCGGTAACGTACCACTGTGTTTGGTAGGTATCTTAATGCTACTGTCGGCTGGGGTGGTTGATTTACCTGTAGTTGGTAACGTACTATTGTGTTTGGGAGGTATCTTAATGCTACTGTCGGCTGGTGTCGTTGTATTACTTATAATTCGTAACGAACTACCCTGTTTGGTCGGCATTGTTTTTATATCATGTGTGGTTGGTATGTTATTACCAATTCTAGTGTTTTCATTTATATCACTGGTGGTTAGGTTTACAATATCACTGATGGTTGTCATGGAATTACTACTTGTTGTTGATGTTTCAATATCAGGGATTGTTGGTAGGTTATGAATACTTGTGGTTAGTGATGCTATTTTACTGGTGGTTGGTATGCCATTATCAGTGGTTGTTAGCGTTACAGTTTCAGTGATGATTGGTAAGATATCATTTCTGGTAGTTGGTGTTCCGATATCGCTGGCGGTTGGTAAACTATCACTAGTGGTAGATGGTATGCTATTACTACTGGTGGTTGGTACTACAGTATCGCTGGCGGTTGGTAAACTATCACTAGTGGTAGATGGTATGCTATTACTACTGGTGGTTGGTATTACAGTATCACTGGTGGTTGGTAAACTATCACTAGTGGTAGATGGTATACTATTACTACTGGTGGTTGGTATTACAGTATCACTGACGGTTGGTAAGCTATCGCTACTACTACTTTTGAGCGGTATGTTTATGTTTTTGCTCGTTTTCGTTGAACTGCTGGGTGGTATTTCGCTACCAATGGTTGGTTCGGTTATACCGCGTACTGCTGATAGACTATCGCCATTGATGTTTGGAAAGGTATTAGCAAATGTAGATATGTTTACATCGCTGGTTTTTGGTGTCTTGGTGACATTGTCAATCTGTAGTGATGTATCACTGTACCTGTAAAATAATACAAAATAACATAAGGGGGCTGAATGGATAAACATATCACTCGGCCCTCCGACTGTCTGCAGTACAAGGGTGTTATTCGGACGAAATGTCAGCTGACGTTACTGACTCGGCACATTGTGGCTTAATGAGTTAGTTCCAGCAGGTTAGAGTCAAGACATTGGTCATGTGACTCTTTGCTTGACAAAGGAAACAGACGTATTTCAAAGGTCGCAAAATGTTGTAACGACTATCTTTGTGTTATAAAAAAAATATCATAAAAAAGAACGTTATGCATTAACGTTTGACAATGAAGGTCTCTAGATAGTTAATTGTTATTTGATGCATTTTTATTTGATAAAATTTAACATGAAATAAACATTACTATTTCATTTAATTGTTTCATTAGTCTTACCTCGATATACAGGTGTGACAGGTAGCTTTTGTCTCGTTTACTTTTGTTTCACATTCCAATTCTTGTTGTTTTACAAGATCCTTATAAGTGTAGAATTCTCGTAAGATCCTATCACGGTAAATTCGTGTCACTATCTCATTGAGCTCTTTCGCTTCTGTAAATATCAAAATTTGTATTTTCAGATACCAAAACATCTTTCTTGTTTGTATATGTTATTAATTGTCTGCAAATAGTTACTGTTAACGTGTATGTTTTAGCGGTATATTAATTGTAGCGCTTTTCGTGATGAGACATTTCGCTATTTTATGAATGTGCCTTTTCTATGTAGGTTTTTATATCATGAGTGTGTCAAATCATTAGTGTATTTATTCAGAATAATTTAGGTGTTAATCTTGGCATTTATCTGTAATGAGTACTGTTGACCTATAAAATATTATTTCTGATCTAAATATGAGCATTGTTGATCTGTTAATGAGTACTGTTGACCTATAAAAGATTATTTCTGATCTAAATATGAGCATTGTTGATCTGTTAATGAGTACTGTTGACCTATAAAAGATTATTTCTGATCTGAATTTGAGTATTGTTGATCTGTAAATTGGAAATGTTGATCTATAAAAGATTATTTCTGATCTCTATATGAGCATTGTTGATCTATTAATGAGGACAGTTGATATATAAAAGATTAATTTTAATCTATATATGAGCATTGTTGATCTGTAGATAAAGACTGTTGATCTATACAAGCTTATTTTTTTTTTTTATCTAAATACGAGTATTGTTAATCTGTAAATGATTAATGTTGCAAAAAAACAGATGTTCCATTTAAACATTTTTTTTTATTTTTAAGCCGAAATGAAAATATTTTTTATTATCTATATTGACAAGGGTCTGTAAATGAGTATTGGTATCCATGGTTTATTACCACTTTATGGTATTTAATACCTTTAACTGTGTGTATACAATGCCGGAAGCAACAAAGTTTACCCCTTGTCGCAGACCTTGTTGATCTGTAAATAAAGACTGTTGATCTATACAAGCTTCTTTTTTTTTATCTAAATATGAGTTTTGTTAATCTGTAAATGATTAATGTTGCAAAAAAAACAGATGTTCCATTTAAACAATTTTTTATTACTACAAAAATAACTAATAAATAATCTTTTATTTTTAAGCCGAAATGAAAATATTTTTTTATTATCTATATTGACAAGGGTTTGTGAATGAGTATTGGTATCCATGGTTTATTACCACTTTATGGTATTTAATACCTTTAACTGTGTGTATATAATGCCGGAAGCAACAAAGTTAACCCCTGTCGCAGCTTCCTCTTACGACAGTGTAGTTGCATACACAATGGTGGCACTGAGCACTAGTCCCAATCACCTGACATAACCAGGGTTAGGACAAAAAAGATAGTTACTTGTCAAGAGAAAATGTGCTAGACATTCCCAAACTAATTTCTCAGATAGCGATAGCTTACAATTAGAGATCGTCAATTAAAGCATTACATTACATTTTCCATAAAATATCACCTGACAGATGATGGGCAGTGCGAAATCATGGTTCATGTGCATATTTAGTTTAAAAGGTGGTGTTCAAAAAAAACTTAGCTAAACTGATGAAGCGAGAACTAGGAGAGTGACACTAAATAACTAACATGTAAATAAAGATTTGTGACAATAATTTGTTTATGTTTCCTTAGTGTCAACCCCTAGTTCTCGCTATGAGGACATGACTTTACTCAAATTTGACCTAGATTTGCATGTTGTTATGAATTAGAGGACGCTTATCGTTCCGGAACACCTGGTCTTATTCTCCTTGTTCGTTTTTAAAAGACTCAATGCATTTATTTTTATTTTTCCTGTTCATTTTTTGTCCTAATTTTATCCATTTGGAATTAGAATTACAATTTTGTTGACATTTCAGTATTCTCTTGTAGTTTTTGTTTGTCTATGTGTGTGTTGAATTTCCAATATGACTGTGCTTTAAATGTAAATATTTAAAAGAAATCAAGCAAAAGATTATCTCCTGAAATTACATTTTAGACATAGAAACAGATTTCATAATTTCAATAACTGGTAGGGTTTTCACTTTTCACGCTTATATTAACACAGAAAAGAAAGGTTTATGATGATAACTTTGCAATAAATTACACCAACGGAAGTCTTATGGAAGTCTGTCCCCTTGTTGGAGTCCAGTGTAAAATTCTGGTGATGATTGACGGGGTCTCTAACTTTCGTGTTTAACTATCAAAGTGAGACATGATATATAGTCTGTTATTACTGCAAATTTGGACAGCTTTGCGTCATGCTGAATACAAGAATAAATATATCTGTATAAGCTGAAAATTAAAGTCTTTTATACTATATAACGAGTTTGTTTGACGCGTCATTATGCATATAAGCTAACAATATACATATGTACATTTTTGGCCCTATCACTTAACTTTTTTTTTAACCAAATTTCAGTGAAATTAAGCAATATGCTTTCACCTGGTAATTTCACGGGGGAGGAGGGGGGGAGGAGGGAGGGGCGGGTTACTGGTTAAAAAGTGGATAAGGCCAAATCACAATTAGCAGTAATGAAATATAGTACCATTTCATTTAGATCCAGTCGTTATCCAGCAAATGACACCATTGTTCTTGCTAAGTAAAATTACAATACCAGCATCAATAAACAGTCATTGCTTTTAACGTTAAATGTTTAATTTGTTGTGTAAATTTATTCATTTCAAAATCTCTTATGTGACATTTCTTAATTACAAATATCACTTTACCTTTTTAGATGTTTTCACATGCATAGATCGGTACCATTTCTCACGATAATTGAACACCTTATATTTCAAACAGCTCTATAACTCACCAACAGGCTGTTCGAAATCTCGTAATGTATGATCATCAATATTTGTGTACTCACTTTGTTGGTGGTTCACAGCTGAGCCAAAACAGTTCAATAGCAAGACGCTAACCCATAATAGTAAGAACATGATGACCATCCGTCCTGATACGGTAACGCCACGACATTGGGAGATGGAAGACAATATAATTGGAGACAAGATAATTCGTATTAATGAATACAATATATATGCAAACGTGACATCTAGTTTTTGGGAACACTTTTGATTGCCATGATTAATGTAGTTGTGGTGTTTACCTGGTTTAAAATTGTAAGAGTGTACACATATGAAATGCACACTGTCGAATCATATACCTGTTGGTGCAATGGCTGTTAGAACGTCTTCTTCACTTATTGGGAGACAAGACATTTAGTATGTAATACACGTCAACGTGACATCAACACCTCTGATTGCTATGTTTAATGTAATTGTATTGCGTTTTATGTCTTGTTCCTTAGTTGATGAATATTGGTTCACAAGTGGAACATCAGCATATTTATTAATTTTATCGGTAATAGTAGCGAGTCATTACATTATTCGATTTATGTTGATGACAAAACAAACTACAAATCATTTCGTTTAGGCGGATGCATATATTCGAGTTAATTCGATAACGATTTCAAATCGCTCGCGCATATCTATTCAAATATATTAAATAATGTTGTTTAAACCTAAACCATTGCCATACTTCCACCTTTTGTCCGGCTAAAATGTTTGTGTTTCGAGTTTTTTTGCCATTATAACAAATTTATATATGAAGTTGTGTTCTTTTCATGAATTTATATCCTTGCAAATGTGTCGTTTAAAGCACATCGGCATTCCTATATATTGTTGTCAAGTTCATTCACCTGTAGGAATATTCAAAAGCTCTATCTACCGTAAAACCGAAGTTAAGTACACCTTTATTAATATTACATACATCAATTACAAAACATATGTTAAATTTTATTGAAATTAGATTGAAATTTTGTTTTTTTATTTAATTTTTAATTTTCATCGTTCTACAAAAAAAAACCATGTGTTTAAACAGATAAATTATATTCAAGCACAAGAAAATTAATGTCAATTTAGCAAAAGGTTATCGTAGAAATTAGCATGAAATTGAATTATTTAAAGAATAAAACTGTATGAATATGAAATAACAATATTTGCGTGCTTCCGATCAAAGATAATTGTGCGACATACAGAACATATACATATGTGCTTCCCACTCAATAAGTTTTATAAATAGTTTTGTCCTAGCCTGTTGCGTAAAATTACGTCTTTAATTCAAAAAGCGGTTTGTGGTATTTAGTTTTGACTTTTATATGTATTTTTAAACTTTTGTTAATTTTTAATGAACATGTCTTCATTAAAATGTCTTAAACCGCTGTTACTGCAACGCATATGGCTTCAACAAACACAACAGTTAGTCATTACTTTATTAAGAACTAATATTTAGAAATGCAAAATATGCTAATTTAGAAAATTTACATAGTTAATATTCTGATCATTAAAGAGAATTCTACTGTATGGGGAATATGAACACACTTACGAGTGGAAATGAGGTCAAACAGTAACAATGCATGCATACATGACATATAATTGTATTGCGAAATACAATGTAAAATGTAATTGCTGCATTACTTATAGTCTAAACAAGTGTAAATGATGTTTATATCATGTCCCATATTTCTTTAGCTAGTTCTTCTCCCAAAGCCTGGTTAGGATTCAGAAGATCGAGAGTGCTGTCAGATTTGAGAATTTCTGAGGTTGTTCCGTCCGTGTAAGTGACAGCGAAGGGTGATGCTGAAGCTACACCTTCTAGCAGTTTATTGACAGCATCTTTCCTCATGAACGTCACCTGAAATAGAACTGACACTTATGTCAACTGCAATACATAGGACAGTATACATACGTGTGGTAGAAATTCCAGACACTTTGACATATTGCAATATGTAGCAGACACTTTGAAAGACATTCTATTTTAGCTATTAGCATATGTTCATTGATATAAAGAATAGAAATCATTATGCATCATATACTGACACAGCTGACACTTATGTTAACTGCAATACATAGGACAGTATGCATACGTGTGGTAGAAATTCCAGACACATAGACATATTGTAATATGTAGCAGACACTTGGATAGAAATATAATTTTAGGTATTAGCATATGTTCATTGATATAAAGAAAAAATAATCGTTACGCATGATGTACTTATACATGTATATGGCATATTCGTCATCCTGTTATGTTGAACATTGTAGATATAGGAAATGTTCGTCAAAAATGAAATAGTCTCTACGGTATTCTTAAAATATCATAATAACTGAATATAAATATGACTTAATGATAAACAAACAAAAGCGTCTTCGTAGTAATTGTATTGTACTTTTTAAGTTTTCCTTTTAATAATATAATTAATTAATAATATAAAGTAAAATACTAATAATTAATGAATTGTTGATTCTGCGAATATCCGTCATAACTGTGATATTGAAACAGAGAATATTCGTAGTAACTTTAATATTGATACAGAGAATATTCATAGTAACATAAATATTGATAGAGAATATTCTTAGTAACTGTAATATTGAAATAGATTATTCGAGTTCACCTGTTAATCGTACGTTAATCCGAAAGACTTGAGGCAATCACTATACAACTTTGCGTTTGTAAAAAGGCAAGTAATTTCTTCGAAATTTAAAGACAAATTTTAAAAATGCATAATGAAAAATACTAAAGACTCATTGGGAAATTTTTTCACAAAGAAATAATAAAAAGAAGTCTGACCGCATAAAAGAAATTTCAAACCCTAAACATCCTAAAGTTAATAAAGATTTAGAAAAGTTCTCAAACTTAAGTAAAGCAAAATAAAACAAACACTACACGTGCAGATATAAAGAAATAATCACTATGAGATAAAACCAAAACACAAATATTTTTTGTAAACACAATTGAAAGATTTTTTTTTTTAAATTAACGATACATTATCTAATGAATCTTTAACAACCGTTCATTATTGTCAAAAGATGTTTGAAGAAAAAACAGCATAGGACTTGTCGTCAAATACTTAACTTTATCGCTAATTACGTGGTTCACATATATGATATATTTAAAATACTCTATCGTTGGGATGTTGCCCCTGTACAGCGTATACACAGCTTATGACAAATTGTACATGCAGCATTTACATTTTAAACTCAAATAATATATTCACATTTGGGCCATAACTTACCTTGGTAATCACGGGTTTTTTGTCGACGTGGATTAATTGGTTTATGATCGCCATCTTCCTGTATTGTGCGACGTTGTTCACATAAGCTTGTCCGCATACTTCCAAAAAAACAACATAACACAAGTTATTAATATCTTTTTCTAATATAAAACGGATTTACTAGCTTTCATGGGAAATAGAAGAAACTTTAAAATATTCATGAAAGATATGAAGTATATAGCTAACAAATTACCTGTTATTTCAATAAAATGAAGCATATTCCCATGTTTTTGCTATTTTGACTGATGACTCAGATTTATAAAAAATCAAAGTAATTTACATTGCAAAAATGATATAAAAGACATTAAAAACGCTGCATAACAGTAATAACACACAGACAAAAATATCATTTTAATGCATCCATGTTTCTGTTATCTAAATCTCACATATGCAGGAAGTCAAAATGTTCACGTTTAAAGATTGAAAAAAAACCCCACCTAAATGTAAAACGTAATGAACTGTTGCTAAATCCTTACGGTAAAATGATTAAGAAATTTTGACAGAATTAAAATGTTATTGCGACGAATTATGTCGATAAATTGACAACTAGTTGTATGGTGCCTTCGGGGACCTATAGTCCAGCAGCAGCAACACAGACCTAGTAATAGAAGTAAACTATAATAATAGAATACATATTTAAGCAAATAACTGTGTATCAGTATCTTCTTGGACACAGCAAACTTTGATAAATTTCTGATTAGAAGAGCACTTCTAGCAGAAACAATAGTTCTTTTCTTGTTTTTAACTGACATTATAAATTTAACCTAATTTCGCACATAACAGCATGTAGAACAGTACTGATCTAAATTTTGTGTTTCTAAGAATAGCACTCAATAAACAATTTTGCAATTAAAAAATATATCCCATTCTTAAAGTTATTTACAGTAGTAAATCGTACACGGGTAGTATACCACTCTTGTACGTATGAGGCAACTAACGTGGGAACCACGTCCTTAAATGACCTTAGCTGTTAATAGAACCTTAAACAAAATAAACCCATAAACCAAACTTCGGACCCCTGCTTATCCGGATTTTTTACAATTTTGTTTATATGTTCTGCTTATTTGATATTGAAGAAACCGAAATTTGATCTGCTCTCCCAATTGCAATACTTTGGTCCTCTGTCTATTCTTTTCTTCCTTCCTTTCTTTTTTTTGGCGTTGTCTCTCTGAACACTCGACTCAATAGGGCGTTATCAGTAATCTCAGGAATAAATACTTATATCAACTCACCTGTACGCGTCACATCACTTGACGTCATAGTGTCAGTGTTTATCTTATCACAGTCGGGACACTGAGATGCTTGTCGCCTGCGTCTCCCATTAAACAGACCTATCAAAAATTACACTATACAATTTAAAATACAAGCTTGCACAGCAAGTTGTAACCGCTAAACAGAAGGTTGGACACATTCTTTTCTGATGTTATAATTGCAATAACAAACTTAAACTTTTATGATTATTAATGCAAAATCTCTGAATATAAAAACTACATATACTTTATTTGCTTCCGATGTATTTTTCATAAATGATACATATATATACAATATGTATAGAATGGAAACTACCGTCTTCATTCAGTAAGGTTTGCCATTCAATATTTGATTGTAACATTTTTTGCAACAATATGAGACTTCTGTCTGGTCCACTTTTTTTAGTACTACTTTTTTGAGAATATGAAAATCAAAATTTCTTGTGAAAAGTAAGACACACACACAAAAATCAATAGTACCATCATGGTTAGGTAAATTGATAAAAAGAGCTTAATTTCAGAGAGTGCTATTAAGTTCAAATAAAATCTTACTTGTATCTAAAACTTAAAAGTTTTTTTAAGGAAAGTCTAAAAAGGTTTCATGAAATATTTCAGGTGCTTCACTTCATCATTTTCATAGACAAAACGGTAAATTCATCATGAAAGCCAACTTTTAACCTTCACCAATAAAACTGATAATACCTCTGACTCCTATGTAAATTTATTTACCTGGAATAGTATTTTTAAAGAAATGTTTAACTTCCTTTCCGGCTTCAGGGATCGCATTCGTGAAGAAATGTTTAACTTTCTTTCCGGCTTTTGGCATCGACTTCTTAAAGAACGTATGAAGATGGTTTCCGACATCTTTTCCTGTGCTTGGGAGTGTTTTCTTGAAAAATGTTTCCAGATGGCCACCAACATCCTTTCCCACTTTCGGAATAGATTCTGTGAAGAATGTATCTAAATGGCCTCCTACATTTTTTCCGGTTTTCGGTATTGTCTTCTTAAAGAAGGTTTCAAGATGACTTACAACAGTTTTCCCTGTTCCAGGGAGTGTTTTGGTGAAGAATTTCCCTAACTGCTTCTTAATATCCTTTCCCACCCTTGGAATCGTGCCCTTGAAGAATGTTTCAAGGTTACTGCCGACATCTTTCACTACACTTGGAATGGTTTTCTCAACAAGTGTTCCTAACGGTTTTCCAGTTACACCACCTAGTGCTAATCCACCCAAACTTGTCGGTAATATCTGTAAAAGCAGCTGGTCAAGACCGCCCTTGTTTGGTTGAGGTATAATTTCATACCTAAAAGAAAGTTTTCACACAAACAATTTGAACAAAACAAAAAACAAAAAAAACCCAAACAATTATTACCTTATTATAAATATTGTGCCGTTTTATAAGGAGGTGCCGTACTCATTGCGAAGCTTAAATGCTTAACGTAAATTAAAGGGCTTTTAGAGCCTTTAGAGTATATTTTCAACTTTTCAAAATTACCTTGGACTCTTGGGTTTGATACTTCTATCGAAGCATGTCAACAAATCCCTGTACACGTGTACAGTACAGCTACGCTTTGTAGGTAAGACACTATTTTTGATGAAATTTATTAATTGTGCTTAAACACCAACAAATAATGCCGAAATACCAAATATGTGGTCTGTTTACAATAATCTATTCTTAGACATGGAATTCCGATATTGCTACATGCATAAAAAAAAATACCTGAGGAGGCGTCATAACAGTGCACGGTTGGATGCGCGCACTAGCGTGACACAGCTTTGGGGAAATAGGCATAGCAACCCGACATATCTCTTTGACGGATGAGCATTCGATGTTGATATCATAATAAACGATTTTAAGATATCCAAATATCATTTTAACATAAACATGAGAGTAACCACATTCACATTTTAATTGGTATGGAACCTTACCTGGCTCTGCAGCTTTCACATGCTTTAAACGTGAGGTTCAGTTTGGCTTCACATTCTACGGCTTGTTTCTCTACCAGTTCCTTCAAGGCAGGAGCCTCTCGTACGATCTTCTCGTGGAAAGCTATGGACACGATCAAATCCAGCTCATCTGCCTCTGTTCACAAAAGAAGACACAAAGCACAGCATCAATAAATCTGCATTTATGTAAAGGAAATCAGAATATCGTGTCCGAGGAGGATTTGTTTCAGAATCGGAACAAACATAAAAAAAAAAGAAATAGTCAAAACATATTAGAGACAAAAATGCTAAACATGGAGAGGAGAATAAAATGTTAAAGTGATGAAATAGAAAAATTGATCAAATAAGTAATGATACACCACAAGATACTTACTGCGTTTGTTTTCTAATATTTCAGCTGAACAGAATATGATGTTCAACAGAACGAGGAGTATACTTGATGTTAACAGCATACTGACGGATATCGCCGCGACCTCCAAACTAGTGTCAAGTATTTAAAACAAAGAAGTTATTTAACTCGTTTCGTTTCGATACAATCTGTCATCACTGTCAGACGATTAATCAGTCTATATACGTGTTTAAAAGTGTCTCAATCTAGATGTTGTGGATCCGGTTTCATCACGCTTCAATAACTTAAGTATACGTTAACTGAAGAGCGAGTGCAAAAAATACCTTTATTTCTGAATTAAATCCTGTTCTATTATAATATAAATATATATGTCATTCCCCATATACTATTTGGAGAGTAATGGCTAAAATTTGGCCCAAAGGGTTCTAAAAGCCTAAATACGATAGAAGGAAACAAATATATCTTTGTCTTAAAATGTTGTTTCACTACAGGAAAGTAAAACTAAAATGTGCCCATTGAGAAGTTCAAATAGAAAATGTATGTCTTTTTTAATGAACGATTCATTAGTACCTTTATAAAACGAGAAATCCAATTACATGCATTTGAATAAATGAATTATGGGAGTTTAAGGTATTTTTTCAGAAAATCCTTTTTTCT